ATTTTGATTAATATATTTATCTGGTGTGCAGCTGTAACAGGAGATGTGATTGTGATTAAAAGAACACCATTTATTTAGTCTCTTTGCCATAGCCTTCAGTTTTTGTAACTAATATCCCCGAACCTGATGGGAGTGAGTTGTTAGCTATGTCATAATTTGTGCCCTGGGCTATGTCCAAGCCCTCCAAACCTTGGAAAATCATTGTAGTGATTCCTTTCTCTCTTCTTTCCTCTGTCAGAAGTTAGGTAAGAATTCTGCAATAATTATGGTTATTATAAGTAATCCAGCAACATACGAATAGAAGGAGGAAGGGAACAGAGGCAAACTGGAATTCCTTAAAGTTTAAGATGTTGCTGGATGATGGGGAAAGCAAAAGGATGAGAAGAGTGATAAAGCCAGTTGCAGTGAGGCAGGAGAAAAAGCAGAGCAGCACGCTGCAAATGTCTCTAGTATCATCTGTGGGAACGAGAGAACCGGTAGGATCTGCTTTTGGAATACGAGCAGATGTATTTTTCTTTTGGGATGTTGAACTGCCATTCTTCAAAGTTCTGACGCATCCGGTTCTATTTCGGTTTGATGACTCCCAACTAGACACGTTAGGCGGCTGCTGCTCAGAAGCCAGCATTTAAAAACACTGTGTTTTTCTGTTCCACTCTTTCTGGCAAAAAGCTCGTTATTCAAGTGCTTGCTCTAACCTTTAGTTACCCTGGTTGCATAACTGGAAAGCAGCATCCCACCATGCACTTCTGTGACCCAGTTGTGCCTTTCCAGTAGTGACTTTATGAGTTATGAAAGGTGTGTCTGCCACATTGCTACAGAAACGTTTACTCTACTGACCCTGATTTCCGAAATATTATATAGTCATTGTTCACTAGGAAGTAAAAAACAAGGTAAAAGCACATAAAAAAACCCCTTAATGCTGCAATGTTGAAAATCCTTGTGAAAATCCTCTTTAGCCTTGATAGTGTTTGGGATTCTCATTGATAAAAAAAAAAATACTTGTAGAACCCATTTTAAAATCATTAATGCTTCAGTAATCTTTCAAAATGAATTTTAGATGGTACATTCAGTACTAATAGTCACAGTACAAATCATTGACTCATACAAGGAAGAACCTGAATAACAATTGCTTTGTTGAACTGATTTGCAGTCTAAATTGTGATGTGCAGCATTCACATTTTCTAGACTGTCTGCAGACTTGCTAAAATCCTTCCACATTATCATGTCATCTATTACCCTGTATTCTACTCATGGTAAACATCCCTGTGGATGAGAATGAGTTTCTAATATGTCAAATAGAGAAAACTACTTATCACTAGCATTGCTCTTACAAAATCTTTCTGTAGCTTATAGAAAACACAAAAAAGACATGTGCTTGGTTTTCTTTTCCATCGCATAATACAGCATAAGTCAGTTATATAAAGTCACTTACATAAATAGCTTAATTCTCCTTTCATTTATATGGAATTATAAATCAAGAGCAGATCTACTGTGAAACAAAAGATGTTACACTGGCATAAACCCGGTATTGACAGCATGTGCAGACTTTCATTCTATGGATTTGTCCAGCCAGTGATTTTTGGGCTTTAGCAACTTAAAAGCCATCCTATCCTAGGATGTAAACTATTCAGTATGTGGCTAACCTTCACAGCAAAGCTTGCTCTTTACATCAGTGCTGTGTTTTTCAGGTAATCTCTGTATATTAATTTTTGGTACCAATACATAATTTATCTGGGTAATTAAAAACATAACATTACAGGTAAAGGCAGCCCGATGACATTGCTGTTCACTGGTAGGCACGACTTCACCAGTTCTTCTACTGTGTATGTTTTAGAGGACTTGGTATAAGTGGCTGCTGATGAAAATCTGTCTGAAACTCAGGAAGACCTTTAAAAAAAACCAGTCCCAGCTCTGCAATAGTTTAGTAATACAGTTCCTAGTCTTCCTGCATCTGTATGTGTGGCCAAGAAGCTGACTGATGGCACTCCTTACCTTGTGTTGGGCTGTGAATAGCATGGAGCAAAGACCAGGCAAGCCATAACTCCCACAGCAGAGCTGCAGAACTGTTGAAACTAAGAAGTCAGCACATCTTTTGAAGCTAAAAACTGTTGCCACACCTTTCACCCAGTCATACAGAGAACTGCGGCACATTAAGAGATGTTCCAGGATTTTGTGGCATCTCATTCACAGAATAAAAAGCATATTACAGTTGACTGACATTTGAAAATGTGGCAGGTCACAGCCAGGAGCTATCCTGTGGCACACCCTTCCCTCAGCCTCACACCCACAGTGAAGTCAGCACTGGCTCTTGCGTCAGGGAACAGGGAAGCAAAGGCTGACTGGAAGCAGAAGTTTTCCTTGAAGTGCTTTATATGATAGAGATCATCCAAAATTGCTAATGATAAATTTAATATGAAGCATTATGTAAGTGTAGATGACTTTAGCATATTTCAAATATCATTTGAATCAATCTGTGTAGGTACACTTATAAAACAAGAACACAGCGAACAAACAGGAAATATTTTGCTATCCTATATTTGGGTTAAATTCTCTGTTTTGTACTGCATCTAAACCCAATTTTTTAGAAACACTCTTAAAGCTTTCAAAACTAAAGTTATGACTTAAAAACAAGAGTTTAAATCAACATTTTTCCAAGCAAAGCTTCAGTTTTGACTATTTACTATTTCCCAGTGAAAAAGCACTTTAACCAAAGCACTTCCTCTACTGAGAAGCAAATGTATTTTGTTGTAGAAAACAGCAGCCTTGACATAATGAGTTATTGGCCCACCATATACAAACTTAGCTTGTGCCCTGGATTCTAAAATAAATGCGGGGCCTGAACAAGCTTACCCTGGGAGACCAGCAAGCCAACCTCACACCCCAGCAGTGGCTGGGGCTTAGGCAACAAGTCACAAGTGGGCTGCATCTTGCTTAAATGACAAGGCAAAAGAAGCAGCCCATACATACGTGACTTGCAAAAAACCTTGCAGATTTCATATCTTCAGTAGAATAAACTTCTAAGTTTATGAATAAAACTAGTCTCTAGCTTTCCCTGTGAAGTTAATGGCTTTGATAACCCTATGGAACTTCTTGTTAAAGGGTCATCACTAAAATCAATCACCACGTAGATACAGGTTAAGGGTGACCAGGATGCATTCTTGCCTGAGACTGTAAATGAAAAGGTATCCTGGTCATAGTTTTAAATCACAGCAGACTGTAAAGCAAATGTGAAGTAATGAATAAGAGGAAGCAAAGTCCAGAAGTGCAAGGTAGTAGTGTAAGCCAGGCCCTCTTCAGCTCCCATTATTTTTACTTTACTACAGCAACAAGGGAAGGAACAAAAGAAAAGCACTTGTACTTCTTTTACAGATTCTGAGGTTTGAACAACTTCATTTCTATGGTTTGGCTTCCTCACTTCAAGTGTTGTTGTGTGACTGCAGGGATCCAGTTGGTCTTTTCTCGTTTGTCTAAAACACCTACAAAAAGCAGCTCCCATGTAATATTTGTTTACCTCTGTAGTTCTTTGTTATGCAAGCCAAAGAGTAAAGAACACAAAAATTTTAATTAGGAAACAACTCTCCACACAGACTTTGTTGGTACAACATAGTTATAAGTACATCTACAAACACATACAGGTTCTTTGGACTATGATTTTTTTAAAATATATTTTATATGACAATGCAAACAAATCTGGAAAAAACAAATTACTTCAACCTTATGTAGAGGTAGCTGAACAGTACTCTGTCCAGTGATATGAGAGTATAACTTAAGTTTCATTTCAAGTTCATTACAGTGCACAAAAGGATGTTTTACAAACAAATGGAATATACAAGTCCACAAAACTTTTTATTTAAAATGGCTTGATAGATATATTTCTGGCACTCTTGTAACCACATAGCTTGATGGAATTAAATTGGACAAGTATATGGTTCCAAATTAAGACATCTTACACAGATAGTCTTTTGCTCCACATTTTTGTACTTCTCCCGTTCCTCACCAGGGAATTATAGAAGCTATTACATTGTTTTTGCTACACTTCTGCTCTGTAAACCTTTGTTCTGCAAATTGAATGTAAAGATTAAAAGGTGCATATGTCTTATATTTATAAAATATATGGCTATGACTATTAAAAAGCTCAAGAATGGCAATAACAGAATACAGGCACTTCTATGTGAGGGTTACTTTAGACCTTATGAAACTCCAACATTAGTAAGCACTTCACATGATACCTGGATGAGTAAGTCAATGTAATAGTTCAGGTTTTTATTATCCACCATTTTAATCCTGTCTAAGCAGATTAGGTTCTTTCTTCTTTCAGACAATATTTATTTAGCAAAGTGTTTCAAGAGAGTGACTTTGCTCAAACTACCATTTTTCTGTAGCCATAAGACTTTCAGTGATTTACTGAGCTTTGGAATAAACCCCAGACCCTAAACTATGTGCTGCACTAGTTACAATTCCTGTTGTGAAGCCAACAAATTAAATGAGAACTAAGCAGGGGTTGAAAAGAGGGATTGAGTTCATCTGATGTAGGACTTGGAGGAAATGGGAAGCACTACCCTAAGTGCATATAGGTCCATGGGGGTTTTATGCACAAAACCCCTATAGTTAATTTACACTTTGTTTTTTAAATAACAGTTTGTGAACATGTTCTCCATTCCTAAACATTGCATTTAAATGCAACAGCTCCTGTCTGTCATTGATTACATCAGTAGAATTTCAGCACCAAGTAGAAATCATTAAAAGGAAAATTTTTTACAATGAGAACAATCAGTCATTGGAATAATCTCCCCAGGGAAGTGTTGGATCCCCCAACATTGGACACTTGTAAGATTTGGCTGGACAGGGTGCTGGGCCATCTTGTCTAGACTATGCTTTTGCCAAGAAAATTTGGACCAGCTGATCCTTGAGGTCCCTTCCAACCTGGGATTCTACAATTCTGTGAAAACACCATCTAAAACAGAACTCAATTCTCTGAAACTCTTTCTCTACAGCACAGATTAAGACAGACCAAATCCACTCTTTTTTTTTTTTTTAGACTAAAACAATCTTTGGATTAGGAAATCCATGGTTGAGGTGTTCTGTCAGTAAGCAGTCATACAGGACAGAAGGACAGGCCAAACAACAGATCAGCCAGTCAGTATCTCTTATTGCTATAAGGTAATGGAAGATAAGATATCAGCACTTAAAATAAAGAAACTTTTACAACTAACACTAGAACGTCACTTAAGACTTAACAGAATGGCCTATTACACCATTTTATCATTTCATTATTAAAACTACTGAACTACTTTCTAAGCAGCCTATGCATTACTTATGCCCCCACAGGAACAATTCATCAATACTTCTGATCACACAGGAAATACAAGTTTGAGTCATGATTTTTTTGTTGTTGTTTTTAACCGATGAGCAAGATTAGTTATGGAACTGGGTTTGGTGTCTAGAAAAATGTGAGGAGCTTAAATAAAATACTCCTCCAATTAATATTTTATCTGATCAATGCTGTTTCTATAATTAAAGTGAAGGTATTTTTGAATCTGCTAGCTGTTTATTCATGCCTGTGATAAATGTTGCATTTGCATCCTTGTACTCATTAACACAACTGAAAAATAGTCAGTGATAATGTGGCACAACTAGAAGATTTTTTGGTTTTTAAATGTCATTACTGAAACTTTACCATCTCAACTTATTGCAGGCTAAGGCTACTCCTTGTCCAGCTTTTTCTGGACAGGTTTGTGTTCCCTAACAAGTATCTTTCTCAATATTGTTTTTTTCTTCTGATGGAATTTGGAGACTGTAGCCATTGATCTAGGATGTGTGGCCATAGAGCAGCCCCAGAATGCTACTGTAAATGTACAGATGAACTGTTTGATGTGTTGTGCATGTGCAGATCACCTGTTTGCATTACATGCAGCAGATCCAGTGTTTCCAGGTGGCAGCAAATGCACTGGGTGTTCATGATGCAGGGCATGTACGAGAGTCTCTGCTTTGGGAATTCTGGCAGCTTTAGTCAAGGCTAACAGAAAAGATAATATTCACTTTTAAAATCAAGGATTCTTTCCATGACAGTTTCTAAAACAACAAAGTTGGTAGAATGAGTATGTAGAATACATAGCATGCAGGGACAAAGAATAATAACATCAGTGAGAAAGTTCAAATTAAACATTTAAAGTCCTTTTCTCACAGATAAGAGTAACAAAGTGACAGCTTTTTTTCCCATGGGAGCACTATGAGGCCCTTATGTTATGCAATAATACATAATGGTTTGTGGAAGAGTTGCATTGAATGCAGCTTCACTTCTAAACAAGTGGAAATCACCTCATGATTGATTTATGAAGACAAATGCCACAGCAGGTGTCAGCCACTGTATGCTCGATACTGTTCAGAAGATGAAGGTATTTTTATACATTGTTTACAGCATGTCAAGTACCCCTATGGAAGAAATGCAGGAATGTAGCAGTGAGGAAGGAAGTTGTAGTAGTTCTAGAGTAGCTCTATGCAAACAGGATACATATTCCGTGTGCATCACAAAGGTGAAACCTGTTGGTCTTCCATTCATTTCTTTGGTACCCTTATGGAAATGCTCTATAGAATTTAACAAAAAGGGGAACAAAGGTAGTTTTATGAAAACGTAGCAGTATGGAAATTACTTTCAACTAATAAATATTTCTGATGAGATGGAAAAACACCCAGAAAAATTACATTAATTCTACTGCATTTTTTCAGAAAGGAGGCATGAAATGGCAGAGTACTCTCCTGGGTAAAAAAAACCAAAGAAATGTGTAACATTCCATAACATTCTCACTTCACTCTAGCTTTTTCCACTGAAAAGGAAAACAGTAGCTTAGAATAAAAGGCCCAATTTTGCTCACATTGAAATCAGTGAAAGTCCAAGTCAGATGGAGGTAAGAGCAGTCCCAGAAAGTGGTACACTGTAAGCAATGAAAGCAGCAAAACAAGTATAGAAACTGTTGATTTAAAAAAAAAAACAAACCCAAACCCAAGATACTTCCTGTTCTCATTTCTGCCCTATTTTTACCTGCTTTATAGCTAGCAGTAATCACGCTAAAATACACTTGTTTTCCTTGGGAGTTAAACTATTATTAGCAACACTACCCAATCTCTTAAGAGAAATGCAATGGCTGGGTAGAGATTTGAAGCTAACAGAAACCTGAAGATTGGGGTGAAATAAATAGCATTTATTACAACATATTCCTTCTTATGTGACACAAACTGCCCTCTGAGTCCTACAGTTCAAAATAACTCCCCCCTCCCCCTCCCATACACACACTCCAAAGCCAAATCCCACCAAACAATTAAAAGAAATAAAACTCATCTTAACAGCAACAAGAGTTGATTAAAAAAAAAAAAAGTCTGTGTATTAACCTACAATGAAATGACACCAGTACTTCCAGTTTTCTCTAGGATAAGCCACTTTTCATATATTGTGGCTCTTTCTTCGCAGTTGTTTGCAGCCATCGTCCATTTTAGCAAGAAAGAGTTCAGATATAAATTCAACTTCAAGTTATCCTCCATTCTGTGAAAAATTAGGGGATAGATCCTTCTGTCATCACTATGGTCAATTCCCACTGACATCACCTGATCAATACTTGAACTTATCCAAGCACTTAAACACTCAACTTCAAGGTTAAGCACTTGCTTGACTGTTTGGTTGCATCACAAACCTAGGATCAACCTCCAACAACTGTGCTTGAATTATCTCAGACAATCTGTGTATTCAAAGACTTCAAGGCAGGATGTTTCAGGGGGAAAAAAAAATCCTTCTTAAGCTACAGTAGAACTGGGGATGAGTAGAAAAACATTCAAAGTATTTGAACACAAATAACTGAAAAATTATCAAAGCAGTTGCTTGTGCACTGCAAGAATCATCATTTTTGCCCCCAGTCATAAATACAGGGTAAAAACACTATAAATAAATAGAGCAGCTCACTTTCCTTTTGCAAATGAACACATAAATAATATACATTTTGAAACAAAAAATCATAGTGCAAAAATAAATTATCAAACAGAAGTTGTGAACATTATTTTACACAACGCTATATAAAACCTGAACCATTTGAATAAAAGACTTTGCAGTTCACTGAAATAATGCATTAACATTATTATTTCTGCTTCACATTAAACTGCACAGTTCATCCTTTATCCACTAAAAAATAAAAATAAAATAAATTAAAAAAAACCCATAAGATTTTTAAAAGGTTTATGGCAAACAAGATCACTTTTTGTTCTATCACATTTGTTATTAATTTAGCAGTGCAGTGATTGAATAATCGTCTCAGACTTCCAAATGGAAACTATTGAAGTGTCCATAAACATCCCCTGCTCTTTATAACTCATTCTCTTTGAAATTCAGGCTTGAAACATCCTGACACTCAAATCTGTAAGACATTATTGCAGTAAGATGAAGTTACAGGAGACAGTCTACAGTCAAGGACTGTGGGAGACTTCCCAGCTCTCCTCCTCACCATCACCGTGATCTTGTACGAGACATGAAGGTAAGGACACGTCTGATGCCATTCAAGCGGTCTTTGAGGGATTTCATGGCAAGGAACGGCAGCTGAGCTCTGTTCTCAAGTGGAAGGACAGCCAGGACCCACCAGCACCAGGCTGGTCCATTTGGGTTAGCCTGCAGCCAGGGGAAAAACAAAATAAAATAGAAGTCAGGATTTATAGAGATGGTAAGGTCCTGGTTTTGAAGATCTGACTTTGAAAACACAGTTTTTGACAGCAATCTAGCAACTAGGTCATCTCATTGCCAACCTAATGGTTTGTGATTACAGGCTCCCCTGAAAGAGATTACAACAAATTTCACCTTTCCTAAAAACAGGATGTTGAAAGCATTTCTACTTCTAGCAATGATTTATAGGCTGGACCTTCTAGATTTTTTTAAATGTATTTTTTTCCCTGTGTTATCATTGACTCAGCTCTTTGGGATTCCCTTCTCCATACTTTATGACACTTCTTCATGTTTATCTTTAGTTGTTCCATTCTGTTATTTTAGGCCCCCACCATTTGCAGACCTTCAACAAGAGAACCAGGTTTTCTCTTGCCAATTTACACTTCACTGGGGAGGTAAAGCAGGTATTTCCATTTCCTGGGATTAATATGGTGAGATAAGTAGTCTTAGAAAGTTATCAGCATTAAATATGAGCTTTTGTTCACAGCTGTGCTACTGCTGGTGTATGGGAACAGAACTCAGAATCATCTTACATGGGGTAAATGCAGAGTATTCGTATTTTCCTCTTAAAATGCAACGCCTGCCAGCTTATCGGATATCCCTGCTATTTCTGGCTCTAAAAGTTACATAAGCCACTGATTCTGGATACCTGTGGGTCAGGATCCTTGGCTGGCATTGGACCAAAATGACTGAGAATTCGACTTTTGAGTGCTTGCTTGAGGGAGTTAAACCACATGTATGCCTGATCATAGACAGAATCGTGGAGAACGAGTAATGCAGCATATTCTTGTCCTTGTACCTGAAATGAGTAAGGAGAGGGGGAAGGTTACTGTTTGTTCAGTCTGTATGTCAGGGAAGGCACAGCTGGGTAAGTGAACAAAGAAAAAAAAAGAAAAAACATGCCACAAGAGTTCTGGGATAAACCCTGAAAGCTCATTTGGTGTTCCCCCTTCTGCTCCCCCTCCCCAGTCCAAAATCTTCACTTTCTTTCCCTGTATTCTAAACCAAAGATATCTATTTACAGAACACTCACTTTCTGGATTTCTATAAAAAAACTCACCTTTACACAAACATCACATACAACAACAGAAGAAAAGACTATGCAAAGCTTTTTTTTTTTTTTTTTTTAAAGAAGTTAGTAGAGCCTCAGAGTAGGCATTTAATCTTCCCATACAAAAGCTCTTAAGAACTAATTTCAGTAATTTTGAAGGTTATTGTGGACTCAAAACCTGCTCCTTCTTACCTGAATGGGAGTTTGCTAACTGGATTCCATGCAAATGGAGGCAGGTTCCCCCTCTATCCTCTTATAAACAGCAGTTACTCTGTCTAGAAGAGCAGTAAGATTTCATTTCTGGCTTCACTTAGTTTTGTCCTCTGCTAAATACCTCTAGGAAACCCAGTCTTCAGTACATGGGCAGTGTGTGTGCATGCTTGTGGTAACTATTCTGTTTCCTACCTTAACCATGAGCACTTATATGTTTTACTGTAAGAACTCCTACAAAAAAGAACTCACTGAAAATATGCACTTAGAATTTCACAAGTAATACAGTTTAAATGAAATATTTCTAAATTTACCTTTTGATCCTCAATGTACTCAATATCTGCTGTGTTATATCCATCACGCTGGCTGTGCTGGATCACCTTAAATCTCCTCTTGCCGATGCTGTCTACAACAGAGCGACCATCAGCAAAGAATTCAACATTTCTTATCTCCAGAATGCAGCCATAATCTGCAAACCTATTGAAATCAGAACAAAAGCAAGTAAACAAGTCTTATTCTCTCCACCCTTAGTTCCACAGAGCTGCCATAGAGCCAGTCCCTACCACAAAGGTATTTACCAATGTCAGCTCATTTCTATTGTTCATAGTACTGACCTGCTATAGTTCAAATTATTCCACAATTGTTTGCAAAACTATCAGGAAGATTCAGGCTGTCTAATCTGATTAATGCTAACTGGATGTTTTGGAATATAGGGAATATCTTATGAAATTGAAAGTTATACTGCTCAGAAGAGTACTTTCTCCATAACCCTAATATATTCAGTCAATTTGTACAGAAGGGTAAGTGCAACTCAGAATATTAGAATTATGGAAGGACTATGAAATCTGTAAGAAAAAAAGTTCTTGCCCAGTTTCAGCAGATTTCACTCTGTAGGTGAGTATTTTGTGTGTCATACTTCTTACAGTGTGTACGTACCCAGTAGGCATATACCATAAAAAGAAGGGAGAAAATCCAAATACAGAGACAGACACTGAGGTCAAATTGCCCAAGACGGACTAAATTCTCAACGTAAATGTTCAGCCAGTCTTTATGAAGGTCCTGTTATACCTCTCCAGCCTCCACTATATTTAGAACACCGAGGATATAAACATAGCCCATAATACAAAAAAGTAAAACCCCCAACACACCTTACTGCCATTTAAATTTGAATCTTTCAGCAGATTTGAAAACAGTAGAAAACCCACTTTCCATGTATTACAAGAGCTCTGCAGCTCAATTTCATATGCTGCACGCTAGTCAGGTGTGTTTTGAGAGAACAATCAGTCATATTAGTCAGAATCCAAGTGACCAAGAGAAACTTCAGTCTTCTCAATGACTTTAACCAGCATGATTAGGAAGAAACTTCCTCTGCTGGAAAACTACTGCAGATAAGTAGCCATGGACCTTTCCGCAGCTTTGCAAAGACACCAGACTAAGTGGTCCAAGCATGCTGTTCACTCACCCCTTCACAGGGTCGCTGATGCACATCCCAAACTGTTTGGTGCCAGTCTCCATGCACCTGCGGATCATCAGGCGATAACACGGCTCAAAGATGTGCAGAGGACATGGGACTGTAGGATAAGCCATTGTGCAGACAAATATGGGAACATTCTTATTTAGGCTGTAAGAGAGAAAGGACAAGTCAGATGTGACATTTTACCACACGTATAAAATATATAGTAACATATTCTTTCAAATTATGATGTCTTTAAATAAAAATTACAACATCTTTAGAATAAAATTCTTAATGGATTAAGTAAATGTTTCCCCTCAGTTGACTAGATATTACACTTATATACCACTTAAGAGTAGAGGAATTTTTTGTTATTCTTTCTGATTTTGCTAATAAGAGCATTTTTGTATCTTTATTATTGCTTTTATTTACTTTATTTTCCATAATCCTAATTCTTTCCTAGCCAGTACATTCTAACCCCCATCCTGTCAGACTACTTCCACCTATTGTCTCACTCTGTGCCTTTCACAGAGGTCCACTGAAAGCAACCACATTGCTTTATACTTTGTTTATAAAACAACCTTCTGGATTTCTTCCACTTCTGTTTATTGTTTAGCCCAGTGTCCAGATTTTATGCTCACTCAAGCACAGTTTCACCTGGACCCTGTTCTCTGAAATGACACAGAGAAAGAAGCTCCTTTGTCAGCATCTCAGCCCGCTGTTCCACAGCGGCCAGAGCCATTCACAGCTAACGGCAGCGGAATTAGAGATTGGATTTTACATAAATGGATTACATACTTGGAAAGCTCTGCTATTTCCTCTTCATAAATCTTTCTTCTTTCAGTGAGTTCCTCTGGAAGATATCTGGCTATTAACTCCTCCATTAGCACTGTTTTACAGTATTTCCTCATAGCCAAGCACTGCAGGAAAAACACATGCAAGCAGTTACAGATAATGCCCAGCATGTCACAGTTTATGGTGCCTGTGCACATGGGACCCATCTGTAACCCCCATTTCCTGATATCTGTAGTTCTGTGATCTCCTAAGCTTGCTCTGCCACTGAAGATTTGTTTCTTCAACTGTTCTCTATGTTACAGACACTTTCTTCAGAAATCTGGAAAGTAAAATCACTTACAGATTTTCTAAGTACAGGCCTAGTCCTAAGGTTTGAACAGAGACTATCCATGCTTGGTAACTCACAAGAGCACTTAAAAAGTCACATTCTTCCTAAGTTATGTAATATTTCTGTGGAGTTGGGAAATATTAAGGGTTTCTGAAAGTGAAGGTGTTCCTATGCCTTGTACTTGAACTTATGCTGAGAAAATCCAAGCATTACCTCTGAGAGCCCCTCCTTGCACAGGGGACATTTTGGGTTGTGATCCAGACATCTCTCCAGACATTTGAGACAGAAGGTGTGTCCACAGGGTGTGGTGACAGGTTCATAGAAGAGCCTAGAGTGGAAAGTCCAAAGGCAAAAAGCCAACAATATCGTGTAACAAAGTAAAAGAAAAAAGCTGCTACTCAAAAAAGCTTGAATTAATCCACTAACTTAACTACTGACCACTACAGGGAAGAGGTTGATTCTTGCTTTTCATTTCTTCAACCAACTTTGGTACTTATTCAGCTTACAGGCTTTGTTATTGCCACCTAACATGAAAAGTAGCCCACAAACTCTGATGAATAAGAGGGACAATATTGTCCCAACAAGCCAGGATTTGATTTTCCCCTATGTGAGCAATAAATAGAACCAGAATTTGGACCATCTGACTTCGCTAATGAAATGGAGCAATACTTGCACAACTATTACTGTGGCACTCACATGATTACTTGTATGTGTAGAGCTAAGCACAAAATAGCTATTTGCATCAGAAGTCCACATCAGTGACTGCAATAAACTGGGACTTAGCAGTTCTGGATTAATGGCTGAACTCAAAGATCCTGAAGGTCTTTTCCAACTTAAATGATTTTATGATCCTACTATTGCCAGCTCTAATAGAGACTTTTTTTTTTCCTGGTTGGAATAGACAGGTTTTAACCTTCAAATGACAGCTTTTCTGGAGAATGAGTGACATTAGGTTCATGTTTTGTCTGGAAGAATTTATAAATATATAAGGTCAAATCTTCAAAGTACCACGGTATTTAATTTTAATCTTTACTCAATACCTCTGTGACACTTATTCTCATGTAAGGATTTTTTTCCTTATTATGATTATGTGATATTGCAAAGTGATGTTGCCTTGTCAATAATATGGAATTTTTTTTAAAAAATAGAAGTAATTCAAAACTAGAAACTAAAGTGTTTGGCGTATACCATACTTTACAACATACTGTCTAAGCATTTTAAGGTCTCAAATATTAGTCTAACCATAATTTAAGTGAATTAATTAAGTTTCCTTTAAAATATTAATCAAAACAGTACACTATGTTCCATTAAACCTGTGGAAACACAAATATCTAAACACACATTTAACAGCATCTTTAACAAGATGAGTATTTAAGAATGTAATTCTTAAATGTAATGTAATTCTGCCATGGGCAGTTTATTAAATGTCATTAGTTAATATAAATATTGACATTTAAGCAATGAAACACATGAAGAAGTATCTAAAATACCACACCTATCTTACTGCCACTTGACTGTATAACTGGAAACACTTGTTAATTGTTTCATGAACAGAAACCTCACTCACCGAGGCTTCCCTAGTGCTTTAACTACGTAAAACATTGAACTGTACACTGTGTTTCAGTAGGCACTGGACTGCATATGTAATTATTTAGTAGTGACTGCCTTCATCTGAAATGTTAGCATAAGGACAAGAAATTGCTGTTAGGATGCCTGAGTCTCCTTCACACCAGTATGATGCTTTGACTGTTACTTTGTGTTTTCTGCTTGTTGTGGGAGCAAATGTAGATCAGTAACATTTTGGCCACTCCACCAGGCAAACAGGTTAATAACAGCTCCTGAAGTTAATTGCGAACAGGTCAGTAGGTTACTAGGTAATTAGTCCAAAGTACCTCAGGAACCAAATCCCTGAAATACTTCTGAAGAACATAGCAGGAAATAATTATAATCAATCTGCATAAATAACAAAGACCTGATGACAGCTTTCCTTAGCACAAGCCTCCCTCGGTGCAGTGATGTTACAAAGCTAACATCCTTCTAGAGACAAGGCCTGGATTCGTGACTGCAATTACAAGCTCAGCACCCCCATCCTCTGTACTTTAGGGGAATCAGTAATCCTTGGGCTAATTCCTTTACAAATGTATTGTAGTCTGGATGTTTCTGACTTAACACACAGCATGAGAAACTAAGACTAATTAACTTCATTAAAAACATCTGAAAAATGCTGTGTAGAATCACTAAACAAGCTAAGATTAATTGGGTGGCTTTCTGTTCGAGGAAAGTTTTGTTCTTTGCAGTATTGATTGTTTTGACAGCTGTATAAACTTTTGGAACACATTTCAGCTGTAGACAGGCAGAGGGAGAGGGGCAGATCTGATTTATTCCAAGCAGAAGCAAATGAGGCAACAGCAGTTGTTCCCTCAAAGGTTTCAGTTTGTCTGGAATAAATTGAAGCCCCCTCCTCCACAAACAAACAACAAAACAAAGCAAATCCAGATTTCTCAAAACACAGACATAAATCCATAAAGAGGCTACTATTTAAGAATTTAAAATGTAGGGTAAAACTAACCCCAACATGCATTATTGATAGATCTGGGTACTTAAAAAAAAACAAACTTAAGCATCACTCACTGCAGTGAGTGAAACATCTTCCCAATATTTCTCTCTAAGTCAGTAACAAAACCCCACATGTGTATTTGCCGAAGTTAAAATGTTTTTTACAAAACAAGTAGTAAAATAGATGCAGTTGACAACTCCTACTTATTTTATCAAGTCATTGCTGTCCCTAAGAATAACTGTTGTTTAATTGGAAGAGATCTTTACTGAGGCTGTCACTCCGTTTGCCTAAAGTGAGGAACATGTCTCTGAGGCAATAGAGGAGGAACATGATCTTGTTTCCTTGCAAGATCCTCCTATTGCAATAACAGCAACACAGTACTTCCCATGCAAACTCAGAATATTCACTGGATGTGGTCTCTTTAGCTATTCTGTGCTTTTTGTAACATTATAAACAGCTCTACAAATTCCAGAGGACAAACCATGGGTTTGTGCACTATATTTGTCAGTGGGTGGGTGTGTGCAAGTGTTGAGGGGAAATCTTGTGGACACCTTCACTAGCACATTTAATCCTCATGTGACCTTATGTGCCCTTTCGAAAACAATCAGTAGCCTAGAGCAGATCAAAGAGCCCCTATTCATCAACAGTGCTCAGAACCAAAGGTCTAGAAATGCATCACTGGATTACAGTAAAAACTGATTTCAAGTCAGGGGCACAAATAAGTACCAAGTAAGCTAGAAAATCTGTAGATCATAAAAGGGAAAAAGATACAGCTTGAAAGCTAAAGACATCCATGAGAAAACAATGCCTACCTCATACACAGGGAGCAGTCCAGATCTGATGGATCCACAACTTCAAATGGAATATGTTGTCCAGTACTATTTTCCTTAGTATCAGCTGTATCTATGAATATGAAAAAAAAAAAGTAATTGAACAGAGTTATGCAAACACAATGTTATTCCATGTATCTCCATCAACATCTGATATTTAAATGGGTGTTGTATATACTTGAAACTTACTGAACCATTAAGCATCATTACAGTAATTTCTATGCAAAGCATCAGGTTCAGCCTTGGCATAAATTCTCATACCTCCCCTTAATTTTGGTCACATTATACCCAGTTATAGAGGGCTGAATTTGGCCTTGCTTTAACAATTAATGTCAAAACATTCTGTTAGTGCTGAAAGTCTAAAGTGAGACAAATTCTTCTGTCATACCATTGTAAATACATCCCACAGTATGAAAACAAGGCCAGGTATAACGAACAAATAGAATTTTTGCTTTTAAACTTTTAAAATTGATACAGAAAGCATTAAGACCACATGCAACATTGATGTTCCTCAGAGATTAAAGCTCTGCTAAGAAACAAGCATTTGACCCAACCTTCTCTGACCCTTTTTGGACTTTTTTCTCCCCACACACAGGAAAGATTCCCCGTCATGCCTCGATTAGGCAAAAGAGAAAGTGTAAAAAGCAAAGTGTAATTTGAACTCTCTTCCTCTGAGTCTTATAAAAGCAAAGTTTCCAAGGAGTGCATGTCATGGAACCCATCCTGTGTGTAATTACACATACCTTTCTTCATCAGTTTGCAGGGTACCTCAGCGTTTCGCAGCTCCTCTGAGCAGCACTTCCTTTTCAGGAGGCTGCATTTCTCAGAAATGAGTAAAGTAGACTCTGGTTTGGAGGTGAATTTGTTCTCCTCCTCCGAGCAGTCCTTTTTGCTCTCTATAATTTGTATCGATTTCCTCAAACTACCAGAAGTAGTTACATTTGGTTCCTCTTGAATGGAAAACCCCTTTTTCTGTTCCACATTTACCTGTGTGAAGAGAGGACTGACATTTGACCAATCATCCAACAACCTGGTAAGGAGACACCCCAAACCTGTCACAAATATTTAATATTATGAATCACCAGGAAAAACTTAAGTTAGTCAAGAAGCAAGAGTCTGAGAATTGCTAACTCTAATTAAAAACAAAAAGCAACCAACAAACAAACCCAGATTATTTCCCCTCCCTGCCACCCTCAGCACTGAATGTTTTCAGCCCTTTTGTGTGGCTTTATAGCTTGAAGGTCATGAAACTGGATTCAGGCAGAAATGCATCTAGATCTCAGGTTAAATATGTTATTATCACTTAACCTATGGAAAAATGAATATTGTTTATATCATTATAAGGGCATCAGCCATCAGAACAACCAAAACAATGTGAGTTTATTTCAAGGAAGCAGTATAAACAACACAAATTTTTAAGAGAGAAAGTGCACAGAGCTTCCTTCTGCGAGAACAGATTTTTTTCGCAAAGGATAAACCGCTGAGTGTTCATCCTGTTATGGCTACAGGACATCACCTGTCAGCTGGTAACATCAACTCCCCGGACGAACCCCAAAACAGATAGCGTGGATTGCGAGCAGGAGCTGTGGTGATGTGTAACATGCAGAAAGATGGGTGAACTGCCCCTCAAATGACTTTGTGAAAGGGTCATACGAAAGGATTTCTTGTGAGAATATCCTAACAGCCTTCCCAGAAGGCAAAAGGTCACTGATTGTTTCTTATTGGTCTCAATGAGGCTGCTCAAGACCTACAGTTTTGCTTGTGAGGACTAGTCAAGTTTCCTCCTGCATATACAGTATATGCAAACCCCATCCCAAAGTTCAGTGAAGCAGAAGTGGTCCTCACACCCCCTGAACACATGAATGTTAAACCTCCACAGGCATTTACAAAACTGTGGCTGTGAAAGCAAACTTATAAAGTTGCTGATATATCTGACACAGCTCTACAGTAACCTCTAAGTATTGTACAGACTCTGAATGCAGAATGGTTTTGTCACTGACATCACCAGTTACAGGTTCAAGCTGAAACTCTAGATTTTAACATTTCACAGCTTTTGAGGGTATCTCAATCCAATCTTCAGAGGCCCTTTCCCACTACCAACTACCTGGAAGACCTAAAGACAGTTACAGGAATAGGACCCAATCAATTCTGAAATAAAATTTATCAGAACAACAGAGGACTTGTATTAAAGAAAAGTCAATTAAGGAGACTTCAGTAAGTCAACACTGTTTTGTATGTTCTGAAACTCAGTAAAAACTTGAGAAAATGTATCCTATCTCCCAGAGGCAAAAAGAAGGCTTCCCAATGTGAACACAAAACACACAACAAATTAAGAACCACACATCAGACTTGATCTTTACCTTGAGCAACCTTTGTAGGTTATGGCTGGTGCCTCCAGATCCCACTGAATTTAGGAGATTCCCCTTTAATCTAGAGTGATGTGACAACAGCTGCAGGATATCGGGTAAGTGTTCCTGAGCATTTCCCGGGATGAGTGAAAACAAACTAAGTAGAAGCTGTGATATAAAACAGAACACTTCACTGCTTAGTTCCTTCCTTGAAACCTCTAAATGAAAAAGCAAGCAAGGGAATAGCTGAAAGAAGCATCCTTGATTTTGCTAAAACCATTTAAAGAGCCCTTTAGACAAGGGTAGGAACAAAAAGTGCAAGAGCTAAGGCAATACAGGCCAAACAGACAGCAAGAAACATTTTCAGAGTTAAATAAGCCCATAAAGTTATTAATCATTCTCTGATGTGACACACAACATGCCTCTGTCGTCTTTGTCCTGCAGTTCAAAGTTCACCAGAAATTACTACCATCTTTCTTAAATGTTTTTTTTTTTTTTTTCCCTGCACATCAGAAGCTTTCACTGGAGTTTACTCATACAGAAAGCACTCATCTCTCACAGGTTTAATCCAAGATCAGTTGAGTAAATGTCTCTGATATTGTAAACTGTAGCTATTTTTAATTCACTTACGTGGGAATACAAAAAAGGTAGGCAGTAGAAAAATGCTATTTTTCATTTGCTATAAGAAAATAAGTGGATCTGTTTCAAGCAGCAGCTTGAAACCCCCTTGTACGGCAGAGCTTATCAGATGATTATTTAAGGAAAGAAACAGAGCTGAATAGAAGATTCACACTTCAAAAACTACTGGGGTGATCCTGCTGATGCCTGAGGAAGCCACATGACAGCCAAGATTTCTATTTAAAGCCAAAAAGATTCCACAGGATCACACTATGTCCAAAGTAACATGGGTAGGTGGTTAATACGAGCAGAACGTCACAGCTGCACCCGAAAAAATTGGTAAAATGTAGTATGCCATTGTTATGCAAACAGCCTTGGAAATGACCCAGTAAAACAATGCATCGTGGATGAACTCTGTGCCTGATGAGTGCATGAGTAATTCTTTCGGTCACAAGAAGCCTAGTTTTTCTCAGAACCCCACTGCTCAGAAATGAAGTGTCTCGGGTAGGGCTATTTGGAGTCAGAATTTAGAATCATAGCCGTTTGTTTCTCATCTTTTTGCTCTAGTGCACAGAGTCTCCCAGCATGACTATGAGCACAAATCATGACACAATGACAATGAAAGACTGCATGGAACCCACTGGGGAAAATAGCAAACAAAAACCTCAAACAACAGTGACAAAAAACTCCCAGGAGACCGGAATCTTAACCATATATAAAATGAGATACAAATTTGATTGCACTACAGCCATTCAGGTTATACTGTTACCTTCATGAATAGTGCTTTACTGTAAGAATTCTACTTTTAGAAAGCCTTACATGTTACAGCACACAAAAACCCGAAAGCTCCTGTCCCCATTAATGATGGAGAATGGGGTGAATACACTGCCATAAAAGAAAATTCAATACAAGGAAAATAGAACTATTATGGTTTTATTGCCATAAGCTATCACTGCCACACTGAGCCTTTTAGCTATGACAACAACGACAAAAAAATGGTCAAATGTCAAAATACTGATCCCCAGGAAATCAGAGTTTTGAGGGGTGTGCAACACAGAGCAGTAGTCACAAAAGCCATTTAAGAATTCACACGTATCTTAGGCTGCCGCTGAAAAGAGTCTCACTGAAGATCCATTTCGTTGCTTGCTTAGCATTAATTATTAGCAACCTTAGAAAACTATTTTAAAAACAGCTCTTCCTTTGTCGGTGGCTTCCTCTTTCACGCCTCCTTCACGCACTGATACTCGGCACAGCCCGACTGGCAGTAGGAAGGAAGCTGCTGCTCCCAAGTGGAGTTTGATGAGTGCTGCGTGTTGCATTCTGCCAGTCAATGGCCTGACACAACATTCAGTAGCAACTCCCCCTCTTCTGCACTCCATCACTGGTAATAGATTGCCAGGCTAGGAATCAGATTAGAAATTTGACTATAGAGAATCACAATAGTCGGTGGGTGGCAATTATTAACAACTCAGTTTTAGTTCGGATTTGCTGATGCTAATGCCCTCACTGTTTCCACCCTGTGCCTGCTGAGTATGTTTTCTTGCTAGCTCCCTCTCTTCAAGTTAGCAATACACAACTCAAATGCGAACATCAGCCTGGATTTGTGCAGCTCTTTGCAGTAATGAGAGAGGGGAAAAGAAATAATCTCATCCTCCTTTATGAAAGGCCACTGAAGACAATAATGCAGTTCCAGATGATTTAGGGAACTCACCTTTTGTGCCTCAGACTTGGCTGTCTTGTTCCCAGTATCCAGAGCAAGGCAGAACAGAAACTCTCTTAAAGCTTCTTCTGTTTTCCCCAGATTAGCTAATGCCTGTCCTTTCCTTAGGTGACCCTGCAAGGAAACACATCCATAGCTGCAGTATTTTTTCTTTTGTGATTGAAAATATGCAATAAAACCATGATGAAATTACAGGAGATCTTTCTGAAGAAGAAAAAGTTAACTAGGAAAAGTCACTATAAGCATTTCATACCTAGACATCACCACTCTGGCTTTCTAACCACAATGGTCCTAGAAACTACAGGATACTCTCCAACTCCAGCAAATACGACTCTCACAGCACCTGAGCCCAACTGATCTTGGAAGCATCTACTTCCCCTACATTAGTCTCCTAACATAGTCATTTTGTCCTTATAGAATGATACAAGCACAGCATTCATTTTTAGAGAGAGTTCATGAACTTGATATTCATCCAGGTCAAAGACAATAGCCTTAGCTCATCCTCCAGGATTACCACTCTCTTCCTTTACCTCAGGAAGCTTGACAATATCGTGGTTAAATGTCTGTAAATCACAAGAGTCCAAGAAGCTACAGGACTTAAAGCTTCTCTCAGATTCAGCTGTCTGATCATTTTATCCATCTCCTATCAGGGTAGTATCAAGGTTTTAAACCAAAGTAAAGCTGGAGTCAGAACTTACTTTCAACCAGTATGGCTGGAGCCTGCACGCTGTTTCTGCATCGTGCAATGCATCTTCACAGGCTTTCAAAGTGGAGTTAATCTGGGACCGGTTGCTATATAGCAAGTGGTCATTTGGAGCTGTAAGAAATAGAAAAAGTGGTTAAGTAAAATAGAAATTAGTTACATAAGCTTTACTCCTTAATTTTTTGTTAAACACATGTTGGTGCTTCTGAGTTGCACAAGCCCACAAAATATCCAGTTTTTAAATAACTACATACTAAATGAAATCTGGAAACCTCTTTGAGCAACTCCAGACAAAATGTCAGCTATGTATTATATAACTGCAGGGAACATTGCATAAATAAATGCTGAGATGCTCACACAATAAATTACCAGCGCTGACTGAGGATCAGATGGTTGGTAGAAACATACAGGAGACATTTAAGGCAGCAGGAGGAATGCTGGCATACTGTAGGGAGGAGTTTCAAAATTTGTAGCATCAAAGTTTTCAAGTGATACATAGCGATCTCTTCATGCCATCGCTCAACACAGTAAAAGAAGTTACAGTGTGAAGAATCAGATAACACTACACTGATCACCGAGTTACACACATGGCAGGTTGTAGCATCGAGACAAAACGTGTGCCGAGGGAAGGCTGGGCAATTTTCTGAGGATACTTTCTCATTTAAACTCGTAATACCTTACTTTTAATTCCTACTCATGGCGTGCAGCGTGCGAGATACTTTTCCTCAAATTGCATTAAAAGGACCGCATCAAAAAGCTCTCCATGCACAGCCCCGCAGGCGCTTCCCGGCGATGGGGCTGGAGAGGCAGCCGGAGTTGCAGGATCCTGGACACGCATCCCTGCTGGTCCCTTCGCGCTCGGCTACGAGCGGCTGCTCCGCGCCTGGCAGGGGTCGAGGGGACCGGTCCCGGTGCAGCCCCTCCGGGGCGCGGCGGGATGCCCGGGGCGCGGCGCTCCGCTCCCTGCCGGCCCCGCCGGTTACACAACGGCGCCGGCCGGGGGGAGCCCGGTCGGACCGCAGGCTCCGGCTTACGCAACCGCTGCTCTCCTGACCCAATTTCACCGCGGGCCGAAGAGCCACGACCCCTCCCCGGGGCTCCCCCTCCGGGACACCCCCGACACCCGCCCCAGGGCCCGGCGCGGGGGGCCGGCGGCGGGCGGGAGCGCGGCCCCGGCACACCCCCCGGACGCGGGGGCTGCCCCCGGCAGAGCCCGGGTCTGTGCGGGGCCAGAGGCACCGGAGCGGCCGCGGGCGAGCCCCGGCCGGTGCAAAGTTGCCTCTCCCGGGGGCGGCGGGAGCGCGTTCCCCGCGGGGCAGCGCCGGGAAGCGGGGAGCCCTTACCTAGGCTGACCGCTTCGTTGTACTTCTGCAGGGCGGCTTGGAGCTTCTTCTCCTTGTAGAGGAGGTTCCCTTCGTGCCGGAGCTGCGAAGCCTTCACTTGGCAGGGGAACCACTTGGCCAGCAGGTTGCTGAGGATGACATTGACCCTCAGGAGCTGCCCGGCCGCCGCGCCGCCCGCCTCCTTGCACAGAACGCAGCGGGACTCGGGCGCCCGGTCCCTCTCCAGGCACTTTTTGCAGAACGTGTGTCCGCAAGGCAAGGAAACGGGCTCGAAGAGGAAGCCCTGGCACTTGCGGCACCTGAAAACGTCCCAGTCGCGGGGTGCCGCGGGGTGTCCGGCGGCGGGCAGCCCCTCTTTGATCCGGACGCTCTGCGCCAGGCACTCCACCAGCTTCTCCAGCTGCTCGGCGCGCAGCTGCTGGTGGCGGGACGCCAGCTGGTACAGCGGCAGCGCCTCGTGCAGCCGCCCGCCGAAGGCCAGCGCGTCCGCCCGCCCGAGCAGCACCTGCCACTCGGGCCCCAGGCCGCCGCCCGGCGCCTCCAAGTTCTGCGCCTGCAGAGCCCCCGCCGCCAGCTGCAGCACCAGCTGGGGCTCGGGGCGCGGCGGCGGCAGGTGCGACCCCATGCCGGCGGCTCTAGCGGGACGGGCGGCGCGGGGCGCCGGGGCGCGCAGGGGGCGCGGCGCGGCCCCGCCGGCCCATGGCGGTGCTGCTGCCGCCCCGCGCCGGGAGCGCCCCGCGCCGCCGCCAACGCTTATATAGGGGCGGGCACGTGACGGCGGCGCCGCCGCTCATTGGGCAGCGCCCGCAGGTTGTTACAAAACCAGGCGGTTTTGTAACGCGCCGGCCCCGGCCCGGCCCGTCCCGCTCCCCCCGGGGGGCTCACCCGGCCCCTCAGACACCCCCTGCCCTTCACACTCCCCAGCCTGGCCCGCTCCGCTGTCCCCAGAAGGGCTTACCCGGCCCCTCACACTCCCCCCCTGCCCTTCACACTCCCCGGCCCGCCCCGCTCCCCCCGTGAGGGCTCACTCGGCCCCTCACACCCCCCCGCCCCTCATGCTCCCCGGCCCGGCCGCGACCGCCCCTCGGCGGGTGGGTTGGAGCCCGAGGCGAAGGGAGCGCCCCGTGCTCGGAGTTCGGTCTGACCCGCTGCCGGGACGCGGAGCTCGCTCCCGGGCTCGGCGTTTCGGTGCCCCCGGTGACGGAGGAGCCGCCGGCTCAAAGAGGTTCTGAAGTGCCGGTCCCTGCTAGAACTGGAGCTGTAGCCCCTCGCAGTTGCACAGTTAATCGTTCCCTTTCAGGGAATCTACGTAGTGGTGAAGCTATTTTGATGTCAGGTAATCGTGCTTTTAGGGCACCTAAGGAAAACATCAGAACTAAAATGCTGTGTTTATTTAGTTTTATTGGGTTTATTTATTTACAGCATGGCATGCTGCATAGCTCTACCTGTCCATGCCAAGTCCCAGACAAAAAGCACATGCCTTGTGATGTATCTTTGTTTTATTCAAGACCAACTGCGTTGACCGTTTGAATCTGCACATTCCCACCAATTCTTGTTAGATGAGAGGATCGCACTAGTTGTGTAACTGTCTGTGCTAAATGTAGCCTAGGGAGAAAATCACCTGTGCTACTATCGAACAGAAGTAGTTGTTCTAAAAGAAGTTGTCGAATGCCTTTTTTTTTTTTCCCAGTTTCATGCATATCTACAGTTACCAGAACTGTCCATGTTATGTTATATATACATACACTTCCAAATGTTCTAAAAATACAGGGCACTTTTCACACTGTCTTGAAATCCACTGCAGAATTTGAAATTTCTGAGGATGTCCTGTTACTGATAGTACTGGCCTCCTCATGAAGCTCAAAGGAGGGGATGAAGGAATAAATTTCCATTTTCCTAGTTACAGAAGTGTCTGGACTCCCCAGCTTGGACTGTGTGAGCTAAGCAGGTATTAAGGGACAAGCCCTGCCTATGGAGCTTGAAAGGACAGGAGAAAAGATGGAAGAAAGGAAAGGCAACATGAGTTTTGTAAGACCTTGTTTAGAGAGGATACTTGACAAAGTTCAGATGAACTTAAAGATAAAAAAATAACCGCTTAAATTCTGGTTCTTAACTTTTAATAATATACCCTTTGAATTAAGTTCAATATCTAACTTGTTCCTAGGCAAACCCTTTACTCAGAAAAAGAAATGAAAAACCATTGGTTTCAGTACTTCTTTCTGCCATCATTTAAATAATACTTGAATCTAAAGTATAGCACAGCCTCACAGCAAGTAATTCAAAGAAAGGCAGGACAGCTGAAGCACTTTAAATTTCAGTTAAGCAATGCTTCAGAACAGCTAGAAAGAATTAGCTTGGGAGTGTGGGGTTTTCCCACCAGACTCCAGCTTCCTAACATAGACTTCTTGTTTTCCAAACTTCCATGCAAGAAAATCTCGTGCTATAACAGAACAAAACCCTTAAGAAAAAAAAAATGAAAAAAAGAAAAAAGAAGAGAAAAATGCTTTCTTGCAGCCTTGAGGTCAGCAGTTGTCTCTATTGCAAAACTATAGTCTCGGCAACCCCTCAGTGTGTTATTTTATAACCATTGTCCTGAAAACCACTATGAGTCAAAGCCTATTCAAGCGAGGGAAAGTGACATAACCACCGGTTACCAGCAGCAATGCAGTGACAATCTCTCTATCAGGGATACGCCACCAGTATTTACATAGTTATATAGCAGACACTTAAAGAGATAAGTCACGGTATAAAGGGAGCAGCACATGAATTCTAGATAGGGAAGGGGAATAGATTATCATAAAAAATGTAATCAGCATTTGCACTCTGAAAGGAACTTCCACAGTTCCTATTTGCGATGTATGAAAGCATCTGCAGGGCTGGCTGATGCTCTGGACTGAAGCGAGTCTCAAAAAAGCACTGTGAAATGCACTTCTGGGAATTCTTTTCCACCAGCAGGGACGTGGCTGGAACGTTTCAAGGGAAAAGGGAAGCTGTGCTTATGAACTACTCCTATGGTGGAAGCTGTGTGCTTGGAAGGGTTCAGAACACAGACCTTTATCCCAAGCCAGAAAACAGTTCAGACCTTTTCACAGATGGCCTATGGGCAACAACTCTGTGACTTCCTAGGGGAGAAACCAGCTGGTTCTGCCTCTGCTAGTTCCTGGTACGTGAGTGGTGTTTGGTAAATGTTAGTACTTGGTGGGGTGTGACAGGTACAGAATGACCTGTACAGTCACCAACACCAAAATACTTCAAAGCCAAGATACTAATTTACTGTTCACTAGAAGTCAAACAACTACAAAATATTTGATTCTGACATCAGGCCTGGCTCTGGAACGACTTTTTTTTTTTAGCAAAAACAGCTGTGTGAATTGAACATACATAATCTAGATATGCTGGGGTGTTTTTATATAACACATCCTGAAAGCACAGAGTTTTCATACATTCATACATATATTCATGGATTTGGAGCAGCAGTAGGTCATGAGGTGTACTTGATTAGAAAGCAAAAAAAAAAGGAAAAAGAAAAAGGAAAAAAAGCAACCTCCTGCCTACCTGCATTGTTCATGAGATCAAGAACAGATTTATCCTTCACTTAAACAGAAGAAGTTAAAGCGAGGAGGTGACTCACTCTGCAAAAGCACATCTCCCTTGTATGATTTTTCTACAAAGAGAGGTTTAATTTCTTCCTTTTAATGACAAAGAGCACAATACTGATCTCCTTCCAGCAGTTAATGGCTGGCATAACAGGCTGTATGAGAGCATGACTACCTTCTTCAGCCTTTTTCTGGATCTATAAACTGCATCAGGCTTTGAGACCACAAAAGCCATCAATTAACCTGCATCTTTCCTCTCTCAAACACAACTAACCCAAGTGTGAAATTCCACCCCACCAGTCACACTGACAAAGCTCCTTCTCTAGTGGAAGTAGGGATGTGAAAAGTCACATCACAAATACAGCCACAGATGGCTTTTTATTCTCCAGTGCTCTGCCCACACTGTAGTAGTCCATAAGCAAGAACAGATTTGGACTGATGGCCCATGCAGCTGAGATAATTAAAAAAAACACCGAGTGTGAAGCCTGACCAGTATGTCAGGAAGCTGCACTAACTTACAGAGAGGGAATAGGAAGGGAAGACATATCAGTTTTTCTGGGTTATTTCGCCACTGAATCTCTGAATGACTTTTGGCAACTATCTTTACCTCTCCTTTTGCATTCTGCCTACTGTGACTACTCCTTCATGTACTGGGTGTCTTTGCTATCATACACACATAATTTACATTGAAAAGCAATCAAGTCCAAGTTCTATTTTAAATCTATTTTGCACATTAATCTTAAAAGAAAAGTGATAATGTTCCATAAACTATAAAGAAAATTAAAGAAAAAGTGTAATGGAGAAGTTTATGTTCATATGCCATGGTTAGAAAATCACTAGAATTCAGATGCAAACACATTATCGAGTCTAAATAAATGCAAGCACCAATAGAGAGAGCAATGTGATCGTGGAGAGTTGTTTTTCAGGGAAAAATACCAACAGAGCCTGAAAAAGGTTCTTGTTACCTACTGGTCCATGAACTGTGTAATAAGAAAAAACCCCGGTGCCCTTCCCACGCAAACCCCTGCCTGCCTAATTGATGACTGAGTAGGGATCAGCTTGACAAGACCTCAGGACTGACAGAGCGAGGTTCCCACTCAGGTTGTCTCTCTCACCACATGATACTGGAAGGGGGATTCACAGCATGCCCTTGAAGCGTAACCAAACCTGGAGCGAGCTGGGTAAAATAATTTCTGTTCAGCCATATCCAGGTTCTTAGAAGCTCACGTCTGTTCTGTACTAGAGTGAAAGGGCTATGGTCATAAATGCAGTAGAATTCAAGTTCCAGAGTATTTTAATCATGAAGGAGAAAGATATTTCAGCATTGAAAAAATATTTAATGTGTAGTTTGCCATGAAGTTCTGAGACACTTAACAGTTCTTTGAAGACTCACATCTTATCAAAACTGAGGAATTATCCACTACGCACTCCCACTAGCCATTTGGGTGACAACTTCTGTTTTACTGGAAAGTTAATATGTCAGAAGGAAAGCCCAAATTAACTCTTTAGGTACAGAGGAATGAACATCCCAAGTGTTCAAGTACCCTCAGCATACACAGTAAACCTCCGATTACAGCCAACTCCTGCTTAACGTGTGGCAAGACAAATTTGAGACCAAGCGGTCCAGAGAACATGTTCACACAGTCAGGAAGCCTCTCCATTTCTGGAGAACGTGGGCAATTGTTGTTACAGGAGAACAACTGAATTAATATATTCTGTCTAGAAGGTAAAGGTATTAATGGATTTTTTTACTTTGACCAGAAAATTACTTTGCAAATGCCTTGAGCAACAGGTCATTTTATCCCCATGCAGCATTCTGTTTCTCTGAAGACTTCCCTTAGGATCAGTTTGAGCTATCTTTGCAGTTTGAAATCTTATAAACCTTATAAATCCAGAAGGGAAAGGCTGTAGCAAGGAACATCATGATCTATGTTTTGTTTCACAGCTCGTGATAACGTAATTCCAGAAAGAAGATGAACAAGCTCCACAGAGTAATTAACACAATCCACAGTCCACTTGAAGGTACAGGAGCTAATTCTTTATGTGCTGTGGTGTTTGGTGTTCCCTGAACACAATAGCTAAGATGCATTATGGATCAAAGCTGGAAGTTATTGATGAATCCCCTACAAAGCAAATGGAACATGCAGCTTTTGAACAGTTTGAAATTGTAGCTGATGGTTTGAAACTACAGGACACATTCTTGCTTGGGTTTTAAAAGCTTTCTGGACCAGAGCTATTCGGCTATCTTTAGATTGGTATGGACTGCTTTTAAAGAAGTCTCCTCTTAAAAAAGTATGACAAATAAGCCTTATTATGCTTGTTGTGATTTTTAGAATCCAAAAGCCAAGTCATCCTTTCCTACACAAACATCTGTGGGAGTGTAAAAGGCCTCCCAAATCCACAATTTTAACTTCAGTGGTTTTCTGCAGGGGGTGAGGAAGATAAAGGCAAGTTCTATAATCACAAAACATGAGAGAGAGAGAAGTATGGGTGGTACTACTGAGACAGAAACCCTGCAATTAGCTGGAATAAGCGAAGGCTTAGCAATGGCAGCAGCATGTGCTTTCTAAAGTACACCTGACAGCCAGATAAAGCCTCCAGTTCTAGGATGCTGCCTTTGGACCATTGCTCACAGCCTCCAAATCTCTGCTGCTGGGGAAAATTCACTCAGGCAAGGACTGAGGAATGCATCCCTTCTTGGCAAAACTCTTAGAGACATACTTGTGGTCCCACAGCATTTAAATGAGACTTAAAACATCTGCTTCAAGTTAAAGGGGTCCTTCTGAGGTTAACTCATGGGGCAAAGGAATAACTATCGACTATTTCCGTTGAACGGGAGGGGCCTACAATGACCATCCAGTCCAACTGCTGGGGCATCTCAGAGAACTTCAGCCTATGCTTAACTCCTTTCTTGACCTGGGGGATTGGATATCCTCCCACCTGTGACTTTTGTTCCAGAGGCAGCCCCTCCATCCAGGGTCTGACCTGCACAGGTAATGAGCCCATGGTGTAGTGGGCCTCCCACTGTTCCCCAGCACTGCAGGCCCAGAGGTTTCTGTCCAGCCATGTCAGCTGATTTCATTCAGTCAAACATACAGGCCATACATGAAACAAGAGACAGGCATTTCCACTGAGAAACCTATGAGATGACTGCTATTTAGCCCATTATGATCAACCAGATAAAGACTTAAGACTGCACTTTCCCAGTTCTGTAATTCCATGGAATTAGTCCTGGAAGCTCAGCTGATACTTTGTTCTTGACCCACAGGCTTCCAATTTTCTTTCAAATTAGCCTTTAGTCCGTAGCTATACCTTAGTCACTTAGTGAGAAGCCAGACAACAATTTTACTTATGCAAAACTCAAGACTGCATTTGTCATACTAGAAGGTAGGAGTGGGTTTGTTGTTTTATTTTTTATTTGAAGTATTGCAGAGCTTTCTTATGATACATACACATTGCTGGGGCTTCCGGTAGCAGACTTTCAAAAATAATTAAAGTGATGAATCATAATCAGAAATAAATGACTCTTACATCTATTAAGACAGTTATTTGAAAAATGTTTTGATGAATCATGCAAAATGCTCGCAAACAGCATTATGCCTTTTCATAGATATATTTTTTGGTTTTTCTAAGTCTTACAAAAAGAGCTTGTGCTTTTAAACACTTGAATTGAAAAAAATATTTACAGCAGACATCATAAATGTCGCATTGAAGTTCATACAGGCAAAGTGGTGATGGTCCCCTGTTCTACCATTCACAAAACACGCTGAGGGTTCCAGGTCTCTTCCATAAACTCCCAGTTTAAAAGCGTTCAGTCTTGGATCTTCAGTATGCTTCTCTTCTCCAAATCATTCATTTCCTTCAGTATAAGGGCAACATTGTATCTCAATTCTTGAAACTTTGCAACTGGCACCTGAAACAGAATATTCAGGTTAGAAAACAGAAGACATCTCAGGAACTTTCACTAGGGCATGCCTATGGTTAGGGAACATTGCAGTGTCAGTGCAATCTCTCTTAAAATACAATTTTTTTCAGATTTAAGACAAAGGATTTGAGGTTAATAGCATTCAGTTAATTCAAATAAATCCATGTGGAAAAGGAGAGTGGAAAAAGCCAGAAATAACAGCTACATAGTACATTTTCTGTACTGCCTGATGGAAGAAAGGAAATACTACAGGATATAAGCTGTGGACTGCTGTGGTGAAGTAAGAGTCCTGGATTGGAAGGAAAGACAAAAACACCTGGAGTGTTGTGGAGCCTACAGAATTCTCAACACAAATTCCAGATATTGCTTGTCCAAACTTGCAAGAGAAAGGAATTGAGACTCAGGGCAAGAGACTTGGCAGCAAGCTCAGGAGCAAAGGGCACTGTCTATATGTGGAAGGCAAAAGACTTTGCTTGAACACAAAGCATTTTCAGCTGTGCAGGAGATTTATGGACTCTTCTCTACCATTTCAAGCCCGATAAGCCAAATGGATGGAAATCTGTTCTGTGTTAGACAGAGACTGATCTAAGATCTAAGCAGCAGCAGCAGCAGCGAGCTGATTCTAAGAGAAGCACATTGCTTGCTCTCAGATATCTGCACTCCTCTGTGTTCTGGACAAACACATCTCCACTGCCAAATAGCAAAGGGTCTTCCACAGACTTACAAGAAAAAATAACCCTAAAATCAAATCAAAACAACCAGAAACAATAGCACCAAGACAAAGACTTGACATTCTATGCCAGGAAATAAAGCCCCAGATCTAAACAGCAAAGAATATATACTAGCTTTTAATCTCAAAAGTGAAATTTACCCTGTTGGAGAGGGCTAACCTGACGTCCATGGCATCATTTAAGTTCCATGGAAGACGTCAAACAGAGCATCTGGGATGCTCTGAGCTGGACTGTCCAGAGTGGTAAATCTGATCTCCTGTGAAGTGACACCCTTAATATTTTGCAGTGTAGCACAGAATTCATGCCTTCCTCAACAGCTGCTTTCTTGCACAACATTTTAACAGTAAAATCAGTCCACCTCTTTCAACCCACAGGGCTTTGGTGCTCCTTTCAGACTACTACTAACCTGGGAACTGAAGCCAAAATCTGTACAGAGTTCAAATGTAACAATGCCTGCTGTGCACTGAATTCCTGTATGCACCACCATGTTATTTATAGAACAAATAGCATTCCTTTCCAAAGGTTAAAATTATGGAAGAGTTTATGCCATCTTCTGGCAAGCCTTTAGGTACAGTGTCATAAATACTGCCACTGACTAATGCTGAGGTAAAAAGCAAAGAGGTTTTTTTTTTTACTTTCTAGCAGCAAGAATGGTACTGAAGAAAAAGAATAAAACTACCTCTGCCACAGGAGAGAATGTTACCATTCTCTGCAAAATGCAGGTTCAGAAGTGTATCATACATTATATAAACTACCCCAGTAATTTTCCTGCCCTCAAAAGCCACCCTTGGGTCTGAAGGTTACAGCTGATAACAACCCCATAATTTTTAATCAAACCAGATATTGTGCAACAGTGTTTTTCAATAATTTTCTTATAAAAAATTAGATTCCAGCAGAACGTGTGTAGGAACAAGGTATGAAATGATTTTAGTTGGTGTTTCATTATATATTGTATGCAGCTACACTGAACATGATGGATTTCAAAGCAAACCAAGCAATGGAAATGCATTGTTTAAAAGAGCTTTAGCATTTTAAATAATAATTCAACTTTCTGAATAAAACTTCAAGTGGTTTCTTTTTTATTTATTATGGCAATCAGACTTACTTCAAAGCGATGAGCTGTCCCATCTGAAAGCTTCATCATCATCAGAATGGATGGCTGAAGTGCACGGGCCAGTGAACTGAAATTATTTACATTATTAGTATTACAGCAGCAGACATCAGCAGTGTGATGACTACAGCATTGCACATTAACCATTCTGGATGTTCATGCAGGCTTTACTCAGAATATGAGTAATTTCAGTCCTTTACCTGTCTGGCTTGAAACTCATGAACATAAGAGTCCTGCCCAATTTATCTCAGCATTGAGACTAAACATTTTTTTAATAGTTTAGGAACTAAAAGTTTAGGAGCGTTTTTGTTTTTATGTAATCAACTTAGTGGAACTATGATAGGGATAAGAGCTGACTAAGTACTGCTGATTATAATGCACAGTTTTCTTATGCAGTTTACCATCCTTTCCACCCCTTCATATTTTCAACTGCCACCTCATTTGGGGAATTTGCGTGTTGTTATTTTATTTGATGACCCAAAGAAGGGAAATGAGTCATTCTTGTGCAGCTTCCATCAACTGACGTTGCCAAAGCCTGCTCAGGTACTGACAGGCACTACAGCCAAAAGCCACCATACCTCTCTGCAGAGGCTGTTGCTGGATGATAAACAAGAAACCCCAGGGGGAAGGTTAACTGGAAAGGAAAATAAGAGGAAGGAAAATAAAAAAAAAGATAATGTATTGCTCCTGTGCTGTTTGGAAAACAAATCATAGGATTTGCTTGCATCTTGCAAGCACGGTGTCTGAGGATGTTTATCTGGACATTTTGCTTTCTTACAGGTATAGATTTTTTTCTGCAGAGTGATACCTGTGTGGTGCTTGCAGCACTGCTTGGCAGCATCACCTAAACTAGTAGCTTCTGGCCATTACCATTTTTACTTGGGAACCTTTTTTCTTGATTTCAGGAAGACAATCCCTGATTACCCACGGACCTCTCAACTATAGCGGCAAAGAAGCTGCACTCTCTCCTGGATGCAGGTATTCATGAATGCTATATAGAGTCACTCATGCTAATAATTTACTGTACTAACAAATACTGGATCATGTTCTAATTTCTTTCATCTTGGTCTTGGTTAGAACTAGACAGAGATCAAAACAGCACAGACAACAGGTTTCTGTGCCAAAGATCCATCCCCCAGCTGCCTCTGCTGTGGCAGATGGCAAGAAGCCACTCACTGCAGGCACAGGCAGGATGATCACAAAGGCCTTTGCTCTTGTTTTGTGAGAGAAACCAGGAGGTAGTACAATGATCAGTTGCATAACCATGGCAGTGTAAAGGTGCTGTTCTGAAACCCCTCTTTGCAGAATCTGCAGCAGACTGTAGAGAGGATGGAAAGTCATTTTAACATGTGCAACATAAAATGATAGCTAACTTGAGAAGTTGAATAGATGACTTCCCTCCCTTGTTCCAATGAAACTGAGAGTGTGCCTGGCTGCTCGAGGCTCAATCCATCTAATTTATTCCATCCATCTCTGAGGACTTGTGGATTTGTATTGGCTCCATTAAGTTTTCAAATGAGAGACTCACACTTTGAGTGAAATGTTAACAACAATAACATGTATATACACTAACACCTACCCTGTTCAGAAAATTCCATCTGTATCTCACCGTTTAATGCCCCATGCCAATCCCTAACAGCAAGATACATTTTAACCCTGTTAACATCTTTAAGCAGCCAACAAATCAGTTTAAGCTTAGGTAAAACAACTTGCAGGGACACGCATGATTCTCTTTTATACCTTGTGGATATTGCTACGTCCACTCTCCACTTGAAGTCCTGGATACCTGGTAGCCTACTTCTTTGTAGCAGAGCTGTGCCTTCGGAAGCAGGACGCCTGAAGAGTAAATCAGAAATGGGAGACTGAAATGCAAATTCATAAAAGAAAAAAACAATCTAAAGAGAAAATATGTTTCCTCAGAACAAACCTGTCTGGAACTTGTTTCTCTCCTACATCTGTCCTCATTTAGAGAGGTCTGAATGAGTAGAGGTATTGTGGATTACAGACAGCTATGCTCAGATTATCCCCTTTTCCTATGCTTAACTACAGTCCATGTTGAAAAAAGACACCAAGTGACTGTGTAATTCCAGTAAACTGATGCCACTGTAAAGTTTAGTAAGAGTCACTGTGGTGGCTGGTATATCTATTATTTCAATTTTATGCAACTGTGAGGCATAGAAAGGGACCTGCAAATATATCTTTAACTACATGCAGATCCAACAGGAACAAGCAAGCAGGAACAAGACATGACTTAAGCAAAACACTTGGATAAGGTCACCGTATTTCTTCAGCAAAAAGCATCTAGTATTGGTAAGTAGAAATGTTTTAAAATATAATAATACTGAGTGTCTTTTGAGTGTATTTTGAAGCATACTTAAAAAAAAATCAGTGGCTCCTGTTAATCCAACATAATTTACAAACTTTAAATTCCTTACATAATGAGCATTGCCAAGCCCAGCACAACCTTCAAGATTTTTGCCTAGTCTAACGCGTAAAAAGCCAAGCACTTCATTTATTGCTCATATTGCAGTAAGAATTAGTCTGATCAAGCCCTAGTTTATTTCTGTAAGGAAATACAGTTGATAAGCGATCAAACTTCAGATGGTTGACAATCTCCAAAGTTTGAACATCATCTTCAGCTCTGGGTAGCTGAAGAAGCCAAATCTGATACAAACACATAACAACTGTTCATTTCTGGATACATATGCAGAAATAATTTCAGAATGAGGTCATTGAGCTGGTCTTCTGGACTACGTGTTACTTACCATATTTACTCTTTTTCCTAAGCATCCCATGTCCCTGGAAGTTATTTACGGTACATTTCAAAGCTACTCCATTAGTCCCACTAAGGGCAGGATAAGAAATGTTACATCCTTTATCCATGGTGCTAGACATAATCTAATTACAGACTTTAGATCAGAAGGGAATCCTCTCTGAACAAATCAAGGACTGTAGGAATGGCACTCTAACATCCCTACTCAGATGTTTGTGTGCAAGTTAGCTGGTGCCTTTAGAAACTGCCCAGAAAGATTAACGATCCAATAAGGCACACAGGACCAACAGGCTGAGATCCTCCAATACTCCTGATTTTCATAAAGGTGATATAAGGAAGAATTTATCCTTCTGGTGGGGGGGTTGGGTGGTGTCAGAAATGACACACATTCCTAACAGTATGGCAAAGGAATGAGCAAAAAAAAAAAAAAGCAGATCAGCTGGTTCTTCCTCACTGTCAGTTCCTGGATAGGAAGTAGGTCACCACAGCTGGGTGCAACCATGAGGAGCTGGAGTCTAGAACAGTCATTAGCAGGATTAAACAGTAAGAACAGACCTTTCCCTCAGTGGAGAGCTGCAATAGCTTAATTTGGAGAATCCCTAAAAATAGCCACACTGCTACCGTTTCCTTAAGACATGCTAACTCCCATCAATGGAGGACAGTCCATTCGGTGCAGGACCAGCACTCCGGGGGAAGAAAGGAGTAGAAAAAACAGGAAGATGTTCTAATTAGCCAAGGTGGGAAAGACCAGCAATGGTGACCTCCCAAACAGAGGTGAAGTTTCTGACTATTGTTGGGTGACAGCATTTCTGTGGCCAAATATGAAGCTTTATTTCTGTTCAGGACTGCACTTCAGTGCCATTCCCTCAGGAAGAGTCACAACTTCCATAGCTTAGTTTAAGCTTCTGTCAGGACCTTCCCAGCTTGGACAAGACTACAGCTGGAACTGCAAGAATCCTGTAAGGATGACAGAATGTGCATAGTGGCCAACATACATACAGAAATTGTTAATCAAGCCATTGATTTATAAGAGGAATAGCAAAATGGAGCAGGAAAGACTCAATGAATCTTACATCCAAAACCTACGGCCTTTAATTACATTTCATAAACGCTCTCTACCAAGAGAGTGCAATATACTGTCAGCACATCATGCAAAGGCAGAAGTCAGAATGAGTAAAGGACCACAGATCAGCCAGAGATCATCTAAGCTAGATGTGGAAAGGATGATACCCCCAGTGACAAGAACATCATCTGCCAAAGGAGGCAACACGAGAGCACTCGAAAATGAAAGAGCAGAGAACTTGGAGCAGCAGCTGACCTAACAATATCAAAACTGAAGACAAGTTCTGGATGGTTCCCTATGCCCATTACAAGACATGCCTAGCAGGTCAGTGAACAGGAAGAATGAATAAACTGGTATGTGTGAAATGCTGACAAATGGCACACAGAATGCACCCTTCTGGCAGAAACTAAAGCTACACTATTGAAAAAAGAAGCAGTGCATTTATTGTAACCATTTAGAGAGGGGGAAGTCAGAGTTCTCCTTTCCCTTAAAAAAGTTTTAATTTCACGCACTTATTTGACGGTATCAGTGTGGCAAGTTTTTCTTTCCTTTCAGTCTATGTAGCTTGATGGAATTGTGGGGACACAGAAATACAAATGTCAAATTCTTCAGAGCTGTTGTTCAGTGAGCAGAATTCCCAAAATAGGATAAGATGCCAGGAAAAGTATTAAAAATGGATTTTTCTGGGTTATCTAGCTCATACTGAATTTTTGATCAGATGCTAATACATCTCTTACCATCACAATCATATATATTTACAACTCAATAAGCAAATGTATGATTCAGTGTTACATTTACGATTATAAAAGCAGATCTGTCTAGAAATCAAATCTGAGGTGCTCTTCTCTGGTCTCAAAACACAGAGCAAGATTACACTGGATAATCACAGCTTTCAAAATGAGAAAAAGCTAAATTTTCCAGCATCGTGATTTCACAGTAGAAAACAGACAATCATGCATGTTTCAAATTACATCTAAATTTATCTTCTTTTTCCACTGCAAACAATATTTCCACTTTGCAACCATGAATTTTGCATTCTTAACACCTATAATTCAAACAGAAGAGCAAAGAAAAGATGAGAAGACTGAATTTATTTTTACTTCAAGAACCTTTAGCTGTAAGCCAAGATCTTAATCAAGGAAATGAAAAATATTTTTAACTTTGGTAGCAGCATTCAGACCCTAGTAAGGGTAACTGAAATACCACAACTATGATTACCAGGATTCTATGCAAAGAATCTGAAGCAGCATGGGGTTAGTGATGCTACGTGCTGAGTGACCTCAAGTTTCAAGGAACAAAGTTGTAATCATAGAATATCCTGAGTTGGAAGGGACCCACAAGGATCATTGAAGTCCAACTCCTGGCCCTGCACAAGTTCTGCATATGCAAAATTTTCAAGAAATTTCTAGATGTAGAATAAGCTAAATATGGTTGAGCAGAGAACCATTTGTGGGATTCCCTTTTTCTGTAAGTTCAAAAAGCTCTTGATTTTGTACTTCCTCTGGAGCTACTGAGAAACACTGCTTAAAAAATGAACTTCAGCGAGCAGAGCACTTGATATCTCATATGTGTCAAGTCACCCAGTGTGAACTCCCAATTCAACTGTACATTAAGACTTGATGAAATGCTACCTGAAAAAGCTGCCACAAACCACAGCAAATAGAAGGCATATGTAGCTTGCCTCTCAACACATAAAGTCTTTCACTGTTGCTCCAACTTACCATGATAATGATGGCAAAAATGCCTAATTCTGCACTGCATTTTTCATCTGTAGGTATTGATGCACCTCACAGTCTATAGAACATTATAAAAAACGATGTTCACAGAAAAAACTGAAAATTGCCATGAAAGCTATTTAATGCATTTATAGCCATGCATGATGGACATCATACTGTGCTGAATCAAAATAATGGGACAAATCTTGTTCTCAACAATTTAGAAAATTTTGCTGTCCCTTCAATATGCGAGGGATTCATGTCAGCAGAGCTCTGTGCAACCATGCTGCCTGTGCAATGTATGACACAGGAAGATACCAACCTGTTACCAAAGACTACACTGGAAAAGTCCACAATGAAATCTTCTGGTATCCTGAAAGAGAAGAGCAATACAAAAGTTAAGTGTTTTGTAGCCAATATTTGCTAAACTTCTCTCAGTAAAGTCAAGAAAATTTTTACTGATGGTTCTAAGAAGTGTAGAAGGCAGGCCAGCAATGCATGCTTTCAAAAATCCCAAACCTACACATTTAACTTCACTTTCACCTAAAGCATAATAAAAAGAAGACAGAAGGAATTTCTCCCTCAAAAGTAAAACAGAGGGCCTCGTAGCTAACACTGCTTAGAGAAGGAGCATATCTAACATGAGGACTGGTGGAGCAGGCTAACTCACACTCCATCCACCCTGTGTTTCTTCACTCCTTTACTATTCCTCCAACACTGGTGTTGCCTCACAAACAAGCTGCTGTCGATTTTCAGCTCAATAGATCAGGCTGTGAATTGCAAAGACTACAAAGCAGACACTCTCCATTCAGCTGCCTTTGCCACACGGACAGTAACCTCCTGCAGAGAGGCAAGTTGGACAAGTGGGAGAAGTAACTACTGCTGCTGCCACAGTTAAATCCAGCACTCACCATGAATCAGTGCCCAGGGACATTACTCATCAGTGGCTTGAGATACACAGCGGTGTATCGAAGGAAAATCAAAGTAAACAAGGAAGTTACCTGTCCTAAAGAGCTTACAGTGTCTAATGACAGGAGAAAAAACACTCATCAACTCACACAGTGGGAAGATGAAACAGCAGTTACTATGGCTCAAATTCCTAATGGAAGAAGTGGGGGTTACACCACATTTTTAAATTGTGCTTGGATAAAAAGGAATTCTTTTTAGCAAGCATTAGAACAGTACTTTTTTGGCTGCATGAGTCTGTCTTTCAGAAGAGATAAGACTACTTCTGAAAATACTACTTATATTGTCCATGCAAGTGTATCATTTAACCCAGTCTGACCACTGGATATCCTCTCTGTAGTGGAACAGGTGAGAAGAGGGGGTTGTAATATGGTTATTATGGTATCTTTCACAATACTTTCTCAACTGCAAGAGCAAGTGTTACTAAAACAGAAGCTTTGACACTACCTTTGAATTGGCATTATTTTTGCTGTGCAGTCAATGATTTTGCTGAAAATTCTGTTCCAGGCTCAAGCAGCTTACATGAGGACAGTCACACACTAAGCAGATCAGACAGAACATGGCACAGCTCAGCCTGAGCTACAGATGGCAATCAGTTTTCAAAGGAACAGTCTGAGGAAGGGACTCCAAGAGCAAGAAATGCATATGTCTCAACCCTATGTTATTGCCCAGAGCCATGAAGTTATTAAATAACTTGAGAGGGGAGGGAAAAAACCAGCACCCACAATTTAGAGTGAATTTGTTCTCGCCGTCTCAGCCACTCAGGCTAGGAAATTAGGAATGTGGAATGGTAACCCTCTGAAGCCAGTAGTACTGATCTAATTAATCAGTCTCATAGCCTCGCTCTCCACCAAAACTAGAAGCCAAGACCAGGTACTTCACCAGGAAATTGAGAATTACAAGATTTTACATGGGTGGAATTAGTTTAAAATTCAGCTTCACTGAAGGCAAAGAAAACAGAATGCAGGAAGTTAAAAAAAGGTAACCTGGTGCAGAGCTCAAATCTTTTAAAGAAGACACAACACAAAAATGGAAATAAGCAATTTAAGGCATTTTTCTGCCTTAAATTGCAAAATACCTGCCCAAACACTGGGTGTCACTGATGCCAAGACATTGCAACCACTTATATGTGTTCTTCATGCCCTTGATCGTTGACCAACAGGAGCCATTGCAGGAGGGTAAGTGTCTGAGTGTAATTAGTAAGTGCCTTGAAAACATGTAGGCATTTCATCTCCAAACCCAAGTGTGTTGGGAAATGTAGGAAATAACATTTCCCATAGGAACCAAAGATGCCAAAGGTGCTACGAAACTTGCTAAGTATCGTAGCTTGAAGTAGAATAAGCTATTTAGTCTTCTAAAAGTTTAGTTACAAGGTGAACAAAGCTACTCATAGGAAATACGACTGTCAGAGATGGAGGTTAGGAAGAGCTTCAGTACTGTGAGAACCATGGGAGCATAGCAGCAACAAGCAGCACATAAAACATACAAGTCTGCAAGCAACACAAATGCAGTTACCTGAACTACTGCTGCTAGATCAGTCATGTTAACCAGGACAATAAGATAAAAAGATTTGTCGAGATACAAAAGACATAAAAAAGATCATCTGGACTGAAAAATGTCTAAATGAAGTGCATGAATAAGCCATAAAGTGAGAAGAAAAACCCCAAATAACTCCAAAAGTGTAAGGCATTAAAGTGTGGTCAAATGACATGGACAGGGACCTGGGAGTCTGTATTTCTAGACACAGCCAGCCTGGCCAGTGACTTCTGGCACTCTGACACCAACTTTCTCCACTGTTTGGTAGAGGAATATTCACTCACCCCCAGAGAACTTGTCATGGAGCTTTCAGTGCTCTTCATTTTTCCATAATCAAACTGAACACATTTTGTGTGCACCTCAAAAAACACCAGCTCCCACTGGGTCAAAAGCAATTCATCAGTTTCTTACTGACCTACTTTAATCTGTGTGTGAACTCCATGATGTGGCAGAGGGAGCAGCTTGCAGTTTAGCTCCCCAGACAAAAGGCAGGGCAAACTCCAGCACTGAGTTGCAGACAAAACTGTATCAACTAGCAAGGCACCTTTCATCATGGCCCCAATTATACCTTATGCTGATTACACCCCGACTGCGTCTGCAGCTTTAATTTGCCTGAAGTTGCTCATGAAGTAAATTATGCTTATGGCTCTGCAGAGCCCAAAGATAAAGCAAATGTGCAGGTTAACAGACAAATAAGGATAAAAAAAAAAAGACAGAATTAGAAACTTATCTATTTCTCCTAGGTAGCAATCAGAATGCTAAGAATTGTGCAGAAAGAACATTTTAAAATAATTGGTGAGAAGGCTTTTCTACAGATGAAAACATCAACTACTATTATTCTGTCACTGCTACTAAATATAGACATAAGGCAAAATCTATAAATATTATTAGCATCTGATATCTAGCTTTTAGGATATTATCTTCTATTCAGACATACTCTGGAGAGACTGACACAGACTTTGGCAAAGCCTGTAACAAAGGTTATGATTTCTTGGGAAATGGGCAGGAGAAATTGAGGCTGAACAAGGTGACAGAGTTGGCCTTTCAAAGAAGTGAAAAAGTAGGGCACTTCCTTAGCTTCTGAAATGTTACCACTGTCTTACCAAACATGTTAAAAAATATTGCAGGGCAAGGTGGGGATGGGTGAGAGAAGGTCACTCACATTTGCATAACCTACATTACAGACTAAATTAGACCATTCTCCCCAGCATGTGAAATTCACTGCTCATGCTCAGTGCTAAATCAAGTCTTACACAACACCTGGTTTTTGTCTCTGACTTTATTTGATGCTTGGCAACAGATGCATTATGTGCTATTTACAGATAATTTTTATGCCAACTTCATTGTGTAAAAAAGTTGGTTTGGGGAAGCAGTTATATAAAAGTTATGAAAAAACAAACATTAAAAAACAGGCAGAACCAGCATACCTGAGCTCCTTCAGGTCTTCCTTAAAAGCCTAGAAAGACAAGGAAGGTGAAATTTTTTATGATATATCCTTAAAAGACCATTTCTTACCTAGTGAATCAATAGTGGTTGCTTCCTTGGTATCTTCTCCCCAAAAGTTTTAGTCTCGAGTGCCAGTAGTTTTGAAATGACAGGTGACATATCAGGAAGAATTTTCAGAAGTGTTCCATCAAGTTGTGATTTAATTTTAAAGACTTCAATATCTTGAAAGCCTTTATTTTTCAAAACAACCTCTCTGCCACTTCTCTTACTTAGCTATCCAGAACATGTTCTTCTTTTGGAGTAACTATATGGCCTTATTCTCAAATATGTTTTGCAGTAGCTTGTTTAAACTATGACAACAGAAAGGATGTGCAAAAGGTAAGGTCTGAATATTAAAACCATATTTCCATTATGTTTCCTGCAATATGGGAGCATTTCCAGTATGCCTAAGTAAATATGAAACAGTATCTCAAACAAGAGAGAGGTGCTGGAGGCCCAGAAGTGATTCACTCACATAAAAATAAAATGAGAGAGGAAAAATGTAAGGTAAAGGAACATGAAAAATGAGAAAAAATAGCATGAGGAATGGATAGGGGTTGGGAACATGGCAGGTGTCTACATATTCACATCAAACATCTACAGCATAATTGGAAATTGCACTTTATTCCAATTTCCACTATACTGTTCTGGCCATAAGACTTTCCTTCCTCTATGGCAGAAATACAAACAAAGGCAGGCAAGGAAATATGAGAATTGATAAGTGTGGACAAAATGAGCAGTGTCTGAACACTCAGTGAGGGTAAGAGAGTTATGATGCCTGTGAAATAACCTTGCTATGGTTTCTTTGGGGGTTTTAATTTCAGAGTGAAAACAAACATGTACAGTAAACAAGATGCTGAAGCAGAAATAGATACAGGAATCTTCTTCCCAAAGCTTAAATAGCCTTTCAGAAAGCTCACTGTAAATCTACCCAAGTGAAAGAATAAGCTCTAGATCTTTAACAGTCTCTTACAACGACTTTAACTTGGAGTAACATTTCTGTGTGCAGCTACCCACCCTAACAAATAGGATTTAGATGGTAACTCGTGTCTGATGCAGCTTTTAACTTATCAGGGCTCCAAGTACTCCCAGAACTTACTTCTTGTTTGAAGGTTGATACAGGGAGTCTCAATGCCTCTCGGAGAAGGGTATACATGCCAGAAATGAGGAAAGCAAGTTGCTCTTCTGAGAGATTAGCACTTTCTGCAATCAGCTGGACAGATTCCTTGCAGTCTTTTCCTTCCAGTGCATTAACGGTAACTATGAATTAGAAAGCAAGGCAAAAAGAGGAAGTAATGGAGACTGTGAACATTCACATAAACACATCTGTGATTTTGCCTGACTTAATGTACCTTTACACCACAATTAAACCCAGAGAGTTGGGCTGCCTGGCACTGATAGAACTTTTCAGTCTCCATGGTCCCTGCACTAGATAGCAAATATGGTTCAACATCTGTATTTACTTCTGTCCCAAATGACACTGCCTATACCTAGCTTTATTACTTTCAATTATTATAAGGAAACTCTGGATACGTTGCTCAATTTCTGACACTTTGCAACAACACTTTGAGACAAACTAGCTACCAGATACTTTGAGTCCTTCTTGACTCGAATCAGAAAGAAAAACCCTGACAGGATGTTACATATCAGGGTCGCAGCACAGCCCCATGCTGGGCAGCAGCTGCCCTCCTCTCAGCTGGCCACAAACAAGCTGTGTTTTTGCTTTGCTAAAACAACTCTTCCATTAATCCATGATTATATACCTTAATTTACTTAACTGAGCAACTCCTCACTTTGATGGTCAAAGGTGCCTTGAGCAAATTCTCATCACAGGGAGAAGCCTCACAGACAAAAATGAAATCGATCCTTGTCAATCTTATAGCCCCAATCTCAGTAAGAAACCTGCACCTTGAGGTTCCTGTATTGTCTCCTGCACACTATGAAGATGCCCACGGGGTCTCTGACCGTCACACACAGCCTGACAGTGATTGTACCACTGGCTCAGGAGCACAGGGACGAGAGAGGAATAATTTTAACAGGACTCAGCATGAATTCAGGGGCCATCCACAGCTGCAGAAGTCTGTTCCTCATTCTCACAGTTGTTACTGAATTGTAGAAAACAACTAAGCAAGCCTGTCATTGTATTTAACCCTCAGCTCTAACTTCCTGATGGGAAAGGCAACGGGAAGTGACACAGGAAGCTGCAAGCCCCTCAGTTGTCACAGAATCACAGAATTTCAGAGTTGGAGGGGACCCACAAGGGTCATTCTGCCCAACCCTTATCCTGCACAGGACACCCCAACAATCCCACCATGTGTATGAGAGCTTTGTCCAAACGCTTCTTGGACTTTGTCAGAGCTGGTGCTGTGATCACTGTCCTGGGGAGCCTGTTCCAGTGCTCAACCACCCTACAGGTGAAGAATCTTTTCCTAATATCCAACCTAAACCTCCTCTGACAGAACGTCAGGCCATTCCCTCGGGTCCTGTCGCTGGTCACTAGAGAGGAGAGATCAGTGCCTGCCCCTCCTCTTCCCCATACGAGGAAGTTGTAACTGCAATGAGGTCTCCCCTCTTCTGCAGCTGAACACACCAAGTGCGCTCAGCCGCTCCTCACACGGCTTCCCCTCCAGGCCCTTCCCCATCTCCGCAGCCCTCCTTTGGACGCTCTCTAAGAGCTGTCCTTGCCTTCCCGAGAGGATCCACAGCCTCCTCGGGGTCCGCGGCTCCCGCCCATCACCTCTGCCTGCGAACCCCTCCCGTCCCTGACTGGGGGGACAGCGGGGGCCCCTCCGCGCCGGGCCCTACCTTTGAGGAGCCGCCGGAACGTGTCCTTGCCCAGGTCCTGCAGGGCCCGGGCCATGGCCTCCACCTCGGCGGGCACTCGCGGGCCCAGGAACCCGCGGCCGCCGCCGCCCTCGCCGAGCCCGTGGCCCACCGCGGCCGCCATGGCCCCGCCGTGCGCCCTCCCCGCCGCGGGGGGCGCTGCGCCACCTCCGCCGGGGCCGACGCCGGAAGGAGCGGCAGCGACAGAGCGGCGCGTCCCGGGACCGGCCGCTGATGGCGCCGCCGCCGCCGCCGGGTGCCTGAGGCGCCCCCGCCGCCCCACGAGCCGCCCCCGCGCCCGCCGCCATGACCGAGGAGCCGTACGAGAAGTTCCTGGCCCCCGAGGAGCCGTGCCCGCTGCTCTCGCATCATCACCCGCCGCGCGGCGGCAGCTTGAGCCTGAGCGAGGAGGGCTGCCTGGACGTCAGCGATTTCGGCTGCCAGCTCTCGTCCTGCCACCGCACCGACCCGCTGCACCGCTTCCACTCCAACAGGTGCGCCCGGGCGGGGCTGAGGGGCCTCGGGGCGGCTGCTGCCCCCGACGGGGCCGAGCATCCTTGCCCCGCTCCCCTGCCCGGTGCGAGCCGGGTGTGACCGGGCTGAGGGTGCTCCGCTCGCCCTGCTGGGGTGCCCTGCGCTTGTGTTAGTCGGGATTCGGCTCATCCCGTTACACCTGTCGGTGTGAGCTGGGTCGTTCTCTGAAGATATGTGTGTTCGTAGGATGACAGACTGGTTTGGGTTGGAAGGGACGCTAAAGATCATCTAGTTCTAACCCCCCTGGCCTGGGCTGGGATACTTTCTGCTGAGCCAGGTTTCTCCAAGCCTCGTTCCCTGCCGAACGTTTTCTTTTTTGAGATTTCTGATGATTTCTGAGCGCTATAGGGTGGTCAGCTGCAGAGTGGTGTGTTTATAAGAGTTAAAAGCAGGCCTTGCATGGACACCAGGCAAACCTGTAGAGGTTCAGAATGAGTCAGGCAGCTCGGTGACTGCACCGACTCCTGCAGAAACATTTCCATCCCATGCTACTAATGATTGTCAAATTATTCTGCCTGTAATTTGTAGAAAAGGTCCATTCAAAAAGTGCAAATACAGCTCTACAAAGAAATTTCAGTAGGGCTTATGAAATGAAAATCACAGTCCTGCTTTCCTAAGGACCTAATTCTGCTAATGCATAGTATTAAACTTGAATATAGCAACAGCTTTTTTTTTTGAGAACAGTCTGTGAGATTTCAGTCACGAACATATGTGTGGGCCAGTTCTAGTTCCTTTTCCAGACTTACCAGGTACTTTTACTGATTATTAGTGTTTCTACTACACAGTTATGAAGAGTGAATAATAAGAGAATCTTTCAGTTGAATTTGTATGAAATCATGGAAATTGCACTTTAAAAGTGTCATTCACAAGGGCAAACTCTTAATTATAGATTCTTAAATGATTCAGCACAAACAACCTTTATCAAATATGATTTTCATGATAGGGTTCTTAAATCATAAGAAACAATTGTGACCTGAACAGTAAGATATATTCTTAGCATATCTGTAAGATAAATGTGTGATAGTCATTTTGTGAGTTTCTCTGTGTTGCCTTTCACTTCCCAAGTGTGTTACTTAGGTTTGCTCATTTTACAAATGCAGGTTTGTAACTCAGGCATCTTGAGAGGCTATTTCACTTTTTTGGGCAAGGACACGCACTCATTAAGCCATTGCAGATGCACAGCTCAATCTGCGGTGTTTGCATAAGGCTCTCTGTTTTTTAATTGTACAAGTGATTTTAATGTAGTTCCCACTTGTTGTTAATCCAGTTCACCCCAGCAAGCCTGGCAGACCCCACTGGGTATGAGAGGGTGAGGGCTGACTGCCTGTACCTGGAGTATCTGCGTAGTGGGTGGTGGTAGAGCCCCTGCACCTCACCCTCTGTTTTGATGGGTCTGGAAACTTTGTCCACTCTGTCTTGTCTTTCATCAGTATTTCATGAATTCTGTAACTGTAGTCATGTTGAAAAGTGTGCTGTGTCACCACAGCCGTGCTTTGCTCTGTACCAGTCGACTGCCCTGCCCGCAAAAGTCTGAACCGGTGAAACATTGCACGCCTGTAAGGGATCCAGGAAGGGAGGCAGGGCAGGATCTGCTAAAAGAGGAGTTTTGGAAATGTCTTAAACATTGGATAAATTCACTGCTGGCCAAGTAGATGTGGGAGTGAATCCATCACAAACATATTTAGCCAACCTGGTACGCAGCCTAAATAATGACAGTGAGCACCAGCCCTTCAGGGTGATGAGATTGCTCAGCTTTAGCAATTGGATGGAAGAGGAGTGTTTTTCTAGTTAGCCAGGCTGAAGTGGACAGGCTGATGGAAAAGGAGTTGATTGTGTGGGTTTGTGTGGTGCATTTTAGAAGCCCTTTTCAAATTGTTTTGGCCATATTGCAGTGCTGTGCTGACTCATATTTGTCTCGACCTACTTTTCACCAATATGTAAAATAAATCCAGATATGGAACTGATTTTGTGAGCTTGTTAAATTCTGACTTACTCTCATTAGAGCAAAAAACCTGTTCTGTGAAAATTGAGTCCTCAATAGCTTTCTTTTAGCAACAGCATTAACTCGCTTTGTAAATGTAATAATGAGAGGGGAAATGTGTTTAGTTTTGGTGTGGTAGCATTTTCACACAGGTCATTTTCGTATCTTGCACTGTTTTATTCCAGTAGCATGTCCAATGTTTTTGACATTCAGAGTTGTGAATAATGGATCCATAATGTGTTTCCTTGTTAAGCCTCAGTTTTGTGGCAGATTATCAGCCTAGAATTTCTTTTTGACTTCTATTTATCCTGATGTCCAATTGATTAACTTCTTAGTTCTGCTTATTTCAATTTTCACGGAAGTTTAAATATCCAAACATATGGAAAACTTTAGATTTAGATCAGTGTATTTTAAAAATCCAACCAACAGCAAAAAAAGGCAATTCACATACTACAGGAGTCGTGGCTCTGGGGTGGAAACTGATAATATATTAAAATAAAGGTGTAATTATACTAACTGTATGTGGATTTTTGCCTGGCCATTTTTAACCTTGTGTTCCCCTTGGTGTTGTTTATGGACTTTAAAAAATATTTTAAACTACAATACTTCAATTTCCATAATTATAACTCCAGTAAAATCCGTGTATAATGCAAGCAAAGTGGAGATAGTTTTAAAAGGCTTAAAAGAATTTTTCAGGCCACACGATGCCAACATGTGCTGCTTTCTAATTGTTTTGTCCTGTTTTGCAGGTGGAACTTGACCTCCTGTGGAACCAGCGTCGCCAGCTCGGAGTGCAGTGAGGAGCTGTTCTCATCGGTTTCCGTGGGTGATCAGGATGACTGTTACTCTCTGCTGGATGACCAGGAGTTCACCTCTTTTGATTTGTTCCCCGAGGGCAGTGTCTGCAGTGATGTCTCTTCTTCTATCAGCACATACTGGGATTGGTCAGACAGTGAGTTTGAATGGCAGGTAAACTAGTTCCACTGCAAATGTCAAATTTTGTGTAGACTGTTGTCCGCAGGGTTTAGTTGTAGTTGAAAAGTTTTAGAATAGAACAGAATGTCCTGAGTTGGAAGGGACCCACAAGGATCATCGAAATCCACTCCTGGCCCTGCACAGGACAGCCCCTGGAATCCCACCGTGTGTCTGAGGGCATTGCCCAAACGCTCCTTGAGCTCTGTCAGAGTTGGTGCTGTGACCACTGGCCTGGGGAGCCTGTTCCAGTGTCCAACCACCCTTCAGGGGAAGAACCTTTTCCTAATACCCAATCTAAACCTCCCCTGACACAACTTTAGGCCATTCTCTTGGACCTACCACTGGTCACCAGAGAGAAGAGATCAGTGCCTGCCCCTTCCCCTTCCCCTTGTGAGGAAGCTGCAGACAGCTGTGATGTCTCCCCACAGTCTCTTCTTCTCCAGGCTGAACAGACCAAATGACCTTCTCAGCATTTGTAACTACTGAGCATAGGAACAGATAACTGAATCTTCAGTGATAAAGAAATGTTTTGTTTAATTTTATTCCAGCCTTCCTAATCTGGAGGAGTGAGTGAAGGTCACAGTTTTAAATTTTGTCGTAAAGCTTAGTCAAAGCATGTAGAGTCCTAAGGGCACAGTAAGAAATGAAAACTAAGAAAGCTCAGATCCTGTTCCAGAAGATGCAAAAAACTTCAAGACATGCACTGGGATCAGCTCTGAATTTCTGACTGGTTTAGTCTATCTGCTGGTCTCTATGGATTGCAGAAGTTACAAGTGCTTGTGTAATGTGTATAATGCAGCCTGTAGGCACCATTCAGGTTGGATCCCAAAGATTCAGAGCTTCATTGAGCTGTGAAATTTTAATTGCGTGATAAACTTGGCAATTGTTTTGAAAAGAAGCTATTTCTTAAGCCTTAGTTAGCTGACAGCATGTTTGACTGGTAACTAGCTTTTTTATTACTCTTTGCTTTTTAAAACAAGCTTTTCTTAAGAGACATACTTGATTGGACTTGTAAAATTTTGGAAAGGCTTTTTTGCAGCTCTTTATGGTGTTATCTGGCAGAATCTGAGCATGAGTAATCCAACTGTCCCACTTCAACTGGAAGTGCATTCAGAAATCATGTGTCAGTTGTATAAATGAAGCTAGGTGAAGTTCTTCAGTTGCTTCCAGGCAAATGACAGTGATTTTAATTGAATATTCTTGTGTAATTACGGGGTGTGGTATGAATTACAGACCTACTTTGAAACTATCTTCCTTAAACTAGATTTATGCTTTGAAATGGGGGGGGTTAGATTTAAGTTTGGATTGTCATGGACAATTTTCACCGATGAGAAAGGGAAATAGTTGAAATGCCACATCATTCTGCTGTTTCTTTGAATGCAGATTTTTAAAAAGTGGATTGATAAGTGGAGAATGGTGTGAACTGAGTTTGCTGCACTTGTTGTTTGTTGGAAGATTCCAGGGAGTATTGCGGAGCTATGAGTAATTACAAAGAAGTTGTTGGAGTACAGAGATAATCGATGCTTTGCTAATTTGACAGCATGTTTTGAATGGGTAATGGTGTTAGAGTGATTTACAGTCTGCCTGCTGTACTCTAAAGCTTTGTTCTTTCTCTTGCACGTTACAAGTTGCCTGGCAGCGACATTGCTAGTGGGAGTGATGTGCTTTCTGATGTTATACCTAGTATTCCAAGCTCTCCCTGTCTGCTTCCGAAAAAGAAAAACAAGCATAGGAATCTCGATGAACTTCCGTGGAGTGCAATGACAAACGATGAACAGGTGACTTTTTTTCCTGTGTGAGAACTGCAATGTAAAGAAGAACTTTCCATTAAAAGATACAGCTTAAATGCTGTCCTGATTGCTGTAGGTATAAATTCAGACCTGTACAGCACTGCTTGATTCTCAAAAGTAAATCTTCTTGCCTTTTGGATCTGTAAGAGGCAGTTTAATGCCTACTCAAGTTTTCACACTGAATTTTTAAAGATACTTAAGGCTAGAGTAGTGATATTTGAGCATGTTTTATCCTGTTGGTCCCTCCTTTTTTCTGTCTCTCACTTAGAATCAATGATACTTTAAATGACCTGCCTCTCTTTGGATCCTAGGTTGAATATATTGAATATTTGAGTCGCAAAGTCAGTACAGAGATGGGCCTTCGAGAGCAACTCGATATTATTAAAATTATTGATCCTACTGCTCAGATCTCACCTACAGATAGTGAATTCATTATTGAATTGAACTGTCTCACAGATGAAAAACTGAAACAGGTGAGTTAAAGTTTGTACATTTGACTTCAGGATTTCAGCATCTAATATGTCTTGGAAAATCATAGGGACTTGTGATCAATTTTGACACCCAATCGTTAGATGTAGAGATATACACTAGAGCACAATATTGTCAATGAGGGAAACCTTTATATGAAAGGCTGTGGCTGTACATTCTCAGTATGTGTTAAGCCTAAGCTGGCAAGTGTGTATTGTAGGCCTGGTGCTGCTTATGGCAATGTACCTCACCTCATGACCATCAGCTAGCTGAGGATCTTCATTTGCTCACTGAATATAAACTACCATTTAAAACTCTAGAAGGTTGGGATTGGTTGGGGAAGACCATAAATTTTATGTAGAAAGGAAGATAAATCAAAGCATTTTAAAGATGTTACAAAATAGGAATTATAACAAAGAAGGGTACTTGGCTGGTAGGGTAGATACATCCCGCTTCTTAGTCTTTGTACTATTGTGATGTGTTGTTGGGAAGAGATGTGGTGTCCAAGCAAACTGAATTCCTCAGTGTTACTCTGATTATGATGAAAGCGAAGAGTGAAAATGGAAAGCATTCACTGCTTTTATGGGCTTGTCCTATTTCATATTCAAGCATTTTTTAAGTATCATCTTACAGTAGAAAAATAGTGCTTTACTTACACCCATTTTTGTTTGAGTATACCTAGCAAAATAAAGGACATTAAGTAAACAGCTTAGTTCAATTGAACTTGACTGATGTTCCTCTTTAGTGTTAAAATAATAACTAACATAGTAGCAAACTTGAGGAGCAGGAGAGGAGAAAAAACCCCCAAACCTTGCTACATTTTTTTTCTTCCTTCCATAGTGAATCTAATTTTAACTCAGGTCTCTGGGTGACTGCCAGATGGCTTGGGATTTAAGCAGCCACAGCAAAATATTTTAAAAGTCTAACTGAACCGATCCAATAACTTGATCATTAACAGGCAAATTGCCTTTTCCACAGGAAGGAGCATCTCAGTGCAGCGTTTATCAAGCCTTAGTAATTTTGCTACCTCCGTTCTACAGGTGAGGAACTACATCAAGGAGCACGGACCCCGGCAGCGGTCGGCGAGGGAGAGCTGGAAGAGGAGCAGCTACAGCTGCGCGAGTACCAGCGGTGTGAGCGGTGCCAGCGCCAGCAGCAGCAGCGCCAGCATGGTCAGCTCAGCCAGCAGCAGCGGCTCCAGCGTCACCAACTCCGCCTCAAACTCGAGTGCCAACATGAGTCGAGCGCACAGCGACAGTAACTTGTCCTCAAGTGCTGCGGAGAGAATCCGGGATTCAAAAGTAAAGTTTCTAATTATGTAAATCTGCACTAAGCTGTCTTAACTCTTTAAGCTTGCTTATGTGATCTTACCTGGGATGTTTGTCCTGAAGGAACACAGTTAGTAACTGAGTTAACTAGATAAACCAGAGTTGACTATTTGGTGTGAAAACTCGTGCTCTTGCCATAATTTCTCTTCTAAGAGAAAGCCTGATGTTTGTAGCAGATCTTATAATTCTTTTTGTTTAGAGTAATGTGAGTGGGCTTGAATAAGGGCTTATGCATCTAACTTAAAAACACACACAGTTTATAAAAAATAATTATTTAAGATTGGTCACCCTAATTTAGGCACAATTTCTGGATACTAAAGACTGTCTTGACTGTGTTTTGTTTTTCCTTTGTGTTTTGTTTTGGTTTTTTTTTTTTCCCAACTAGAAATTTCATCAGGATTTTTGAATCTTCTTCAGTTTATTCTTCCATGTGTCATGAGATTATGTGGTGAGGAGTGACCCTCTGAATCACATTCCATTTAAAGTAGTACTGTGGCACTTGTTGTGTCTCCGTAATTTCTATTTCAGGGGTGGAGGAAAGGAGCAGTTCTTGCTTGCTCTTCAGCATCTTGGGTTTGTTAATGTAAGACTGTAACTTTTCCCCAGCAGTAAAAATTCCTCCAATCAAAAACTCGACTGTGCAACATCACAGGGTAGTGTTGTGCCTCATAACTCAGATATGGTAAATGGTCTTGATATTTTAATATCAGCTACAATTTTGAATGAATATTTACACCACCTCTGAGAATTCATATTAGTTATTTTTCAGAGCAAACGTTATTTTAGAGGTTAATTTATATTTGGCAACTTTAGAAGTGTTTTCTAATCTACAGAATAAAATCTTATGTTTTGTCTCTTCTTTATTTTGACAGAAACGTTCCAAGCAACGGAAACTCCAGCAAAAGGCCTTACGGAAGAGACAGCTGAAAGAGCAGAGACAAGCTCGTAAGGAAAGACTGAGTGGATTATTCCTTAATGAAGAAGTGCTGTCTTTAAAAGTGACTGAGGAGGACCACGAAGGAGATGTGGATGTTTTAATGTGACAGGGGTGAATTTATCAGTGTTCTTTCTAAGCCTTAACTGTATTATCCTTATTGTTTACATATATTTCTTGACCAAATTTTGATTAGTGTTAATAATATAAACCAGATCTTTTCTCAAGTGTAATTTTGCTAAGAAGGTCTAAGTATTGAGTAACTTCAGCTTTTTGAGACTAATTTTGCAATAAAGAATTCAGAAACATACATGTCTTCTGAAAAGCTGCTGAGTAAATACAATTTTAAGGAAATTTGAACTTGGCTAATATGCTAACTTTACTTGCAAGATGTAAATCTAGGGGTGCTCTTGGATGACACAAAGCATGCATTGCTATGCTTCAGCTTCTTTGTTTTTTTACAACTTGTACTTAGTATTCCACTTGACTTGTTCTATCTTCCTTTCCCATTATTAGGGAGATTGTTTAGCATGAGTTAAAAAAAATCTTTGTATTCTATGGGGCTTTCTTCAGTCTTGCTCTTGAATTGTAGGAAATCAAAGTAACGTCATAAATTCTTTTCTGAAAGTTGCGATTTAACTCAAACTACACAGAAAACAAGAAGCAGGACTTCTAATGCAGGGAATCTGTAACAAATACTGCCCAATAATGTAGTTCTTAGGAAGTAACTAGAATTAAAAAAACCTCCAAAAATTGCAGGCTTAGTCTTCAGAAGCTGCTCAATATCTTAGGGTTATTACTAATGGTTGACCAGTACATCCCTTCTCTTTCCATGTAAAGGTTCCAATAAAAATGTCTTTATGCATTGAAAGGACACTAATCTGCAGCTAAGATGTCAAGGACACTACTTACAGTAGTTAAGAACTCTACTGGAAACAGAAGTGCAAACAAGTGGCACACAACTTTAGTGTTTTTCTTCTCCAGAAGCACATCTAAATTAGATACATGTTGTTGACAGGAGAACTTAAATTAATGCAGCTGTGCTTTTTAATTTTATGTTTAGCTGAAGGTGTCTTCTGTGTGGGTCGTTACACCAGGACGTGTATCAGAATCTCCTTTTGTTGTCTATTGGCTTTTGAAATTTCTCTTGGTAAGAAAATGAGGTAAAATTGTGGCTTTCAGGTAGGGAAGTAAAAGTAGTTTTAACCTGTTTCCTAATTCTGACAATCTTTAAAGTTGTCTTTATTTTGGAACTACTTTTTACAGAACTCCTTACCCCCTGCTGAGATAAAAATGATGCTTCTAAATTTTAATGTGAAACTTAAAAGATTATGAAAGTATTTTTGAATTCTGAATTTAGTGAATAGTTTTTTTTTATCTTGATGCTTCATTACTTTGATTTTGCTCTTGAGTTAAGGATTTTGGCAGTTCAGTGTGGCCACAGGTGTCTGTAATGGCAGGATATAGCCCAGTCCTGCAGAATTGGGTGGTCAACTTTAGGACTACTGACATTATTTTGCATGTCCTGCACAGATTTATTAGCCCTGACAGGTGAAGTATTTTTCTTTCAGAAGTGGCATTCCTTGTGGATTCAAAATAAACTGACCAGTAAATATCTGAACAATGGCCTCTGAAAGAGTCCATAGTTAAAGTAGTATGTGTGACTTTATTCGCTCTTAACTGCTGCTGTACAACAGGTACTCAGACTTGTCCACTCGCTGATGAAAAGCCGTGTAATGTCATTTTAAGCTCAAATGTTAGCTATCCCATATGACCAGTTATTTGGCCACTAACCACAAGTGTCTGTAACATCTTAGCATTTCCTTGAAAGGCAAAATGTAATTGCTGCCAATTCAGCTAATTTCAGGGTGCAGTTGTTAAACTCTTGCATGGTAATGGATGAATTCATCATGGAATATTTCACTGGTGTACACTGTAGCAGTTCAGTACAACCTTTATTTTCTGCAGTGACTTCGAAATGGGATTGAATTATTTTTTTCTGAAGAAGAATGCACACTTAATACTGTAGAGAATGCAAACTCTGAAGTGAATTGTAAGAAAGGGCAATATCTCAGTGTGGTGGAGCATGAAAGTGTGTAACTTTTTTCTATTTCAGCAGTTCTTCAGAGTTTAAAATGCCTCAGGTTTTGTTGAGAGAAGACCCCCTCATTTTGTTGAGGTACAGTTCCTTTTGGTCACCTGTCTACTGGTTTCTGGAGATCATGAAACAAAGGAGGGTAGTATTTCCACCTTGATCTTAGGTTGAGCATGTAAGTATAAATTAATCCAAGTGATTAGATGGGTCCAGTTTCCTGTCACATTGGATGAAAAGGTCCTGGATGCCACAGTAGCTGATAGTGATGTGTTGTCTCCAGCAGGTACTTCAATCACTTGTGTGACAGTTAAAATGGAAGAAGAGAGTGGATTTCCAGGGATTCCATGGTAGCAATTTATAGCTCTGTAATCTCATAGACCCAGGATGATTATAACATAAGAATACAAAACTCTGAATGTTCTGCTAAGGATGCAGAGTAACATCTTGCCTACCTGGATGTTCTTTGCCAAATACTCAGAGATACAGTGTTATCTTTGATCTCAGAGAATCAGGCCTGAAGTAGCTGTGGGATTCAAGAGTTCTCACATTATTTCTACACATTTGAATTTCTTTCCCTTTTGTTTTCTCGCCCTCCATAGTTCTAGTGACATGCTCAGTTTGTGGTGGGGGAAGTTTTTGGTTTGAATCCTGTCCTTCCCTGCTGTGTGCTCTGTGCTTACCCAGGCAGACCCCATCCCTGGAGGTATTTAAGACATGTAAACGTGGCACTTAGGGGTGTGGTTTAGTGGTGGACCTGGCAGTGCTAGATTTAGGGTTGGAGTCGATGATCTTAAAAGGTCTTCTCCAATCTAAATGATTCTATGAATTTGTGTTAAATACCCATGGCATTAGTCAAACAGCTGGAATTTTAGTTAAACCTGGTCTTGCCAATTTAAGTGTTGGCCATTGTGGTACAGCTGTAAATTGCTGGGTTCAGATGAAGAGCAACAGACTGCTAAAATAATGCATTCCTTTTGTTGTTTATTTGGTTGTGTTTTTTTTTTTTTTTTAATCAAATCTCTGCTTTTATTCACAGAGAAAAAATGTCAAGCTTAAAAGTAACATGGAGACACACAGGTAAAAGCTCAGAGTTCCATGGTTCCATGGTACTGAAACTGTGTATGTAGGAGCTTTGTACCCACTGCCATATGAATGTAATTAATTTACACTCTGTCAAGGTAATGGTTTGCTTCCACGGTAACTTTTTCTCTATAAAGGCTTAGAAGGAGCACTGAAAGTTTGATTGCAATAAGACTGTAAACAATAGAGAACATTCTTTTCTGATATGATTTTAAATACGAGGAAGAAAGATGCCTGACAAACCTGGTTGATTTCTGTGTGTATGTCCAATGTCATCTTTTATCTCTGTTAAGATATTTTTTTTTCTTTATCTGGGAAACTGATAAAAAGACGGTTACAGTATGCTCAGTGTGGGGTGCTTACTTGAAAGAGCAAGAAAAGTCTTTGCAAGACTTTACTGGGCCTAAATTTTGGTTCTCCTGTCGTGGTTTGAAACCTGTGAAGATCATTCTCTAGGGGGGCAAAAAAACCCAAACCAACTTGAACTTAGGTACATGCATTGACATCAGAATGCATTTACAATATAGAAACGTATAAAAATGGCAATATTTGCTGTTCATCTCTGCTGAATGGCCTGAAGCCATTTCTTTTCTCTTAACACTCTTTCCACTTTGAAATCAGCTGGTGCATTGATCTATAAATATTAATAGACCCAACTATTTTGGGAACACCTACAGTTCATTCTTATAAGCCAGATTTTCATGGCAAATGTTGTTAGATTTATGGGTTTAGTGTTCTTAAGCTTACTGATCTTGCACTTCTTGGGCATAGAAAAGTCAACATGCAATTGTCCATTTAAGGATTGCAACGATAGTTTATTAATCTATCAAGAGCACATCCTAGTAATATTCAGAGCTTGTCTATTTTGACTATTAACTCTGATGAATCATACTTGCATTCTCTCTTACCTGGCTAACTTTAAAACGTTTCCAAATGACAAATTCTTCAGTGTAAAAAAAAAAAAAATTGTAATATTGAAGCCTTGAATATAGTTTATAACCAAAGCAAGGGGAAAGTGGGGGGTTTGATTTTTTTTTTTTTTTTGGTCTTTTTTAGGGGGAAAAGGGAGGGTATACATTAGAGTATATGGTATTGCTTAAATTGAGTTGTTTTTTTCCCCCCAGGTTCTCTGCTAATTGTATTGCTAAAATGCACTTTTGTATAGAAAACTGTTCTCTGTACATTCTGTATCTACTTTACACTATGTTTATAGAGATTTTTCTGAAGTTGTGAAGGATTTACTGAAAGCTCTGATGCTGTTGACTTCAAGTTTTCCTTGTATTTGAAAATAGTTATGTGCATATTAAAGTACAGGTTGGAATTAAAATTGATGACATATAGCAAAGATATTCTGGTGAAACTATGTGGTATCTTCTTTAGAGCAGGGGGATTCGTCCACAAAATCTGACAAGAGTTGTGTCATAAGGAAGCAGTTTATTGTTGTGAATAATGTAACCCAAGATCCTGTACTTGAAGATGTCTGTGCATGGATTTCTGTGCCAGAGGGATTTTCCTGTATATAGTCTATCCTGTGTGACTGTGGGCACCAGCCAGTCTAATCACTGTTGTTACCAGCTATAACTGAATCTGCCGCTGTCACCCTCACTGCCCACAGCCATCAAACCACCACCTGCCCTAGGATGTTTGAAATCCCTAATAAGACTTGCAAGCTGCCAACCTGCCGTGCTTTTACAGTTCACCATGCAGGCACTGAGGGTCACTGCTGTAAATCCAGGTCTCATTTGCCACGGTTGCTTGTTGTAAGGTCTGACTGCTCGCTGGATAGCACCTGGAAGCTGCAGGGAAGCTGATGCTTAAGCTTTCTGAATCACAGGAAGTTCCCCAGCAGGTCCTGTTGCAGCAGTTCGTTACCAAGGCACCAGTGGCACAGGTCAGTTGTACCTCCTGGTAAGCAGCTCCCTGTCTGTCAATGAAGTCACTTGGGCATAACCAAACACAGCGTGTTATGGATCTCTTATTAACCCTCCTTAAACATTTCTTCATCATCTCTTAAGTCTATCCCGTTTCATTGAACTGAGAAAGTCTCAATGGCCAAAGACTATCTAGGCATAAGCTGAACGAAGATTCCCCACTGGCAAAACAAATTGATAAACTTCCTTTAATGAATTGACAGAGAAGGGTGTCATTGACTATGGGCTTGCTGTCCTCAGTCCATTCTTACTGTACTGGCCTGAATTATACACTTGATCCAAACATTTTCCAGTACAGAACTAGTTAGAATTTGGTTTCCTGAGATCCTTTGTATGAGCTCCTAAAGGTCCTGTGTCCTACCGGATAGAAACATTTTTTCACCTCCTTCCAGAACATTCATCCCTTGTTAAGTGGTTTCTCTGGTGCTGAAATGGAATTTAAATCCAAATTCACATTTCTAATCTGAAATGTCATTTCATGCTGTTTTCTACATGCTGCAGTGACTGACACCTGGCAGCACCAGTGGTGTAAAAGCTTATTTCTGGTAATGTAGAACACGCTCCTGCGTGATAACTCATCGTGGCATTAGAGTCTTTCTAATCCTTCTTCAGTGGAAGTACCTGCTGTATTGTTACA